GTACTTTAATTTTACACAATATAGGCCTACAGTATATCTAACAAAATCAACAAACCTATATTCTCACAATTTTTAGACATTGAAAACAAATCTAATTTTTGCAATGATGAACCAGAATCTTAAAACACATTTATTTTACTTTTCATTTGCAGTTAGTTACTTTTGGACTCAAATATATTGTATATTAATATAAATATATTAAAATTGACTGTTAAAAATGTCATTACACATTTGAACATGGTAAATGTACACTTGATTCATGTAAATGTGTTGATTCTAGACATACATTTCTTGTACATAAAATTCAGAATAACAAAAGTACAATTTCACTGGATTCTTCTGTGAAATTAAAGATTATTAAGGCTGTCAAACTTATTAACACAAAAAAAAAAAAAGTCACAACAATCCAAACTGCACTGAAGGTGTGGTGTGGAAAGAATGATTTAATCTGGATTTCGATCACAGTCCTTAAACCTGTAGGATCATGAACATGTGACAGATTGTGCAGTCAGATTAAAAGTGCAGCCTTTCTTAAATGGAACAGCTTGACCTTTTTTGTATTGCGTGTTTACACTCTCACCGCTGGCTCCTGTACTACCTTTGTTTGACAGGACGAAGACATTAAACGTCTCTCTTGTCTCCTTCTGGTAGAGCAATCTTGAGCACATTTCAGCAGATCCAAACAACATCTTGAGCCACTCAATTAAAAAAATTCACATGTAGTGTTTAACAAATGGCCTGCGATCAGTGCTGCTGAATATGAGCAAACTCTGATGTCGGCAAGATTTACACCCTCAGGCTTTCGCCATTGGCAGTGAGTGGGGGAGTGTGTGGACTTTTTCAAGCATGGGAGTATTGGCAAAGACCAGATGAATTGCGTTGTGAATTGAAATGCAAGCTTGTAAAGTCCAGATGGCTGCCACGGATCAGGCCTGCACTATTTGCTCTTAGTCTTAAGAGAGACATACCAGGAGGTTTTTGAATAGCTCACTAGCTGATTAGAACGTATCATCTATGAGGTTTCCATGAAGAGGGGGGAGGCACTCCCACGGTACAGTATATGTGGACAGTGAGCATGTAATAAACAGGCTTTCTAAAGCATCATGACTGCTCTGATGATTTACAGGCAGCCATCACGAACTGAGCAAATCCCGCACTGTTCTGCAGACTAAATCTGGCTGTCTTTCGAGGAAGTATGAAGTTACAACTCTTTGTAGTTGTGCTCTTTCTATAAGCGCAACTTTTCCCCACACAAAACCATCATATGGAATAATGAAGACATTACTGCAGGGAAAAAATCAACATTTAAGCAAAATTGGGTTGAAGTTATTACTTCTGCCAAGGTAATGGCTGTGTTTATTTATCAGCAGGATTACCAAAAAGAGTACTGAACCAATTTGCACCAAACTCGGTGGAGGGATGAGGTATGGGTCAGGGAAGAACCCATTAAATTTTGTTGTTTGACACTGGCCTTGGCAGAGGTCTGTTCTCTACTGAGTGCCCTTGTTGTTTATGTGAGTTATCTCTTTGATTCCAGTGACTGATTGTTTAGTTATGAACGAATCTGTCTTGTTAAAATCTAAAATCTAACACGCAGAGCATGTAATTTACTTAAATGCAACAACAAACATACGTAATACTTTCTATGACAGAAGGAAAATTACTCCCAGATGAAAAGTGAGAGAACATGGCTATTACCAGATAAGTAGATGTAAGGAGTACTTTAATTTTACACAATATAGGCCTACAGTATATCTAACAAAATCAACAAACCTATATTTCTCACAATTTTTAGACATTGAAAACAAATCTAATTTTTGCAATGATGAACCAGAATCTTAAAATACATTTAATTTACTTTCTTATGCAGTTAGTTACTTTTGGACTCAAATGATATATATGTACAGTATAAATATATTAAAATTGACTGTAAAAATGTCATTACACATTTTGAACATGGTAAATGTAACATTGAATTCATGTAAATGTGTTGATTCTAGACATACATTTCTTGTACATAAATTCAGAATAACAAAAGTCACAATTTCACTGGATTCTTCTGTGAAATTAAAGATTATATTAAGACTGTCAAACTTATTAACACTAAAAAAAATAAAAATGTCGAATGTTGAATATTGTACTCTGTAAAGAGGAATAACATTTTTTTTCATAATTTTATACTAATGAAGTTTATTTAACTCCAACTCTTTATTATCATTAATATTCTTTTTTTCATTTATAACTTTCCTTGATTCTCTGTATACAATTACGTTGAGTACACGTCTGCACTGTTTGTATATTTGAATGTTTTTCAATAAAGACTGGAGAAATAAAAGTTATAACTCATTTCACACAAAGCAGGGAACAGGTGAAATACTGCTGAGGTCAAGTGCACTGGAGTACCATGTTAAAAGATTTGCACATGATTAAACATTCAATGGGTGAATTACCTCATAGTGCAATTAAAATCACAAACTATTATTCATGTTGTCAGTCGCAGAAAGTGAAAGTAGAAGACTATTTTTGCAAATGACTTATCATGCAATATGAATCACAGCATGCACAGTATACTAATGTTACCATTACAGGAGTCTCTCAATGATGGTGAGAAAGATGTCACGGCTGATTTCACTATCAACAACTCAGCTTGTGCCAGCTGCTGTGCTTGACTAGACTAGGACCAGGTCCAGATCCACCAACGGCATCTTCTCACGCAAAGACAAATGAGCAGCTGTCAAGCTGTCAGCTCCACAGCGGTGACCTCCATCTACAGAAATGCTGTCAGATGGGGCCTCTTGGTCATCAAGTTTAAAAAGGCGCCAGTGTTTTGCTTTTGCCCGCTTTTCCCCTTTTGTGAATGCACTCGATACTCCACAACTTCCTGTTGGATGAGTGACAAAGCGCCCCAGACTAAAAGAAAATAAAAAAATCTATTTAAACCTAAATGGGGCAAAAAGGAAGGGAGACATTGTGTATATGATGGCAAAGAAAAGCATGCTATAATACAATGCAATTTGATTAAACATCTATTAGATTCCCTCTCAAGACCATTAATTTTAGGAATGACTTTTATTAACAAATAAGTACAGATGCAGTCAGCTTTCTACCTACTGTAGACATAAAATCTCATGTTCAATTAAATGAAGAAAGAGCCTCTGTGTAGTCTGTGAAATGTTCAGTGTCTGTCATGATGCATTTACCAACCCAAATATGATGCTATGCTTTAAGCAAAAGCTACTCAAAAAACCCAAAAAAGAATGGTTTGACATTTTGGGAAATGTGCTTGTTCGCTTTCTTGTCCAGAGTTAGACGAGAAAATTGATACCACTCTTATGTCAATATTTTCAACAGGAAGCAGGAGCTAGCAGCTGTTAGCTTAGCTTGGCACAAAGACCAACAGGATCAGCTCACCTGGCCCTGTGCTCAGGTAACAAAATCCAGGTACCACCAAAATTTACTGCGCTTTAGATGTGCTAGTAGAAGGAGTTTTTTAAATCTTCAGACAGAGCCATGCTAGCTGCCTGACTTGTTTAATTCCAAGCTAAGCTAATCACTTCTTGGCTGTAGCTTAATACTGAACAGATAGGAGAGTGGTATCGATCGCCTCATCTGACTCGACAGCAGGAAAGTGAATGAGTGTATTTACCAAAATGTAAGGTATTCCGTTAAGTACAAGCGCCTTCAGACCTATGAAAAAACTAATAGCAGATGTTTAAACATGTATTCAGTCAGCATGGCAACTCAGTGATTCTTGTCAACCTATCTCATGATTCAAGTTCCCCCTCAAAACCACTGGCTTGATAACCCTTTTCACATCATAGTCACATTTTTTTCCATTGTGTCAATTACAATACAATTGTTAATATAAAAATATTGATTATGGCTGCTCTAAAGAATGAATGGTTAAATATATTTGTAAAAGTTTTATAACTACCAATAAATGTATGAATTCGAATGCGAGTATTGGCCTGTTTATCCTCATTAAATAGAAGTAAAATGCAAAGTTGGAATAAGCGCAGATGAGCTATCACAGCTGCAGATGTAGAGCTGATCAGACCAAAGAAGGAACTGCTCGGTGACAAGACAGCTAAGCACAGCAGCAGAGTGCTGGATATCTGAAGTGAATCGCATGGAAGGCATTTGCCTGATTGTTCTTCTTCAGCGCACGGGCTTGAGTAACAGCGAGATAGCGATCTACTATTTTCATTTACAGCTTTGAGTCAAAGGGAGGGCACTTATTTCCTGTTCTCTGCAGTTGGGGGTGCCTCGTGCCTTGTGGTCTGGGAAGCTGACCACAAACTGTATTACAAATAAATCTTTAGAGTTGTAGCATTAAAGTGGAAATGATAATCGCAATTAAACAGCTAAACTCGCCAAAATGGGCAAATATTATGTTCACTGCAAAACTGGTGTTGAAATAAATGACAAAAAAAATGTTTTTGAGCCTTGGCAGTGTGTGTTTCACATATTGCAGCATCATTTGACGAAGAGAACAGAGGCCAACAGTGGAAAAGTCTGTCACATTGTTGACACAGTCAGGTGACTGATACAGTTAATGGGGTAACAGGCTCAGTTTAGCTGCTACTTTCAAGACAACATCAGTGACATTAAAGAGTAACCAGCTGATGGTCATCACATACTTTTAAACTTACAAGTAAACAATGCATGTGTCACAGAGATGATTTTGCAGTTCTAATGTGACATTTTACATGCTCTGATGCAGGAATAGTTCTTTGCTTATAGTGATGTATATGCATCTGTGTGTCATTATTAATATGTATGTGGCTCTATTGGCTACTGGCTTCGACACACAGGCACACTTTTCAACTCCTCCCCTCTGGTTTCAGCCAGGGCGTGATTAGAGCCAATACAATCTTGGGCAACCTGCACACACAGAGAGGGAGAGGGAGGGAGAGAGAGAGAGAGAGAGAGAGAGAGAGAGAGAGAGAGAGAGTAAAAGAAAGAGTGGGCAGCCACTCTGGTGCACTCTGGTGGTTCTTGCAGCAGCGTCACTGTTGATCTCCAAACAGTCCAACTGTGGCTCAGGCAAGATTCAGCGAAAACACTGCAAACTAATCCCAGTGGATGGATTTAAATGGACCAGACTGAGTTTTCTTCTCTACTTTTTTTTCACTTGATATTTTGACATTTCTTGGATTCATAAAAGTGCTGCAACTCCATGAACTAATATTGTTTCGGCTTTGTGGACAGTTTGGATACATCTTCTTGGAGATCATGTTGTTGTTGCCTAGGCCAGAGGAACTAGCACAAACAATCACATCTTTGGAAACATGGAGAGCCTTTACTGCCTTTTGAACACTGCAAAACAAGACTCCCGAGGTGTGAAATGTAAGCAATAAAAAGTATTTAGCAAGGAAAACAACTTAATTAGAGCAGATTTATGATGCTTGTAAGAAGTGCAGATTTTTCAGTTTTGTTCACTTTGACGTGAAAAACACATCTTCAACTTCCTCTGACTGAACTGAGCTGCTGAATAATGGATGGAAACCTGAGCACTTCAGCATCCTTGCTGATTAACGAAACAAAACCGTACCATGATCCAGCGGGACCCTGGAGCCTCATCATACTGGTCATCATCATACTGACCATTGTGGTGGGAAACCTGCTGGTCATCATCGCTATAGCGCGCACTTCGCAGCTACAGACAACGACAAACATCTTCATCATGTCTCTGGCGTGTGCAGACCTCATCATGGGGGTCTTCGTGGTGCCTCTGGGGGCCACAATAGTGGTGACTGGTAACTGGATGCTTGGTCTCTTATTTTGTGACTTCTGGACCTCTGTGGACGTCCTGTGTGTGACAGCGAGCATCGAGACACTGTGTGTCATAGCAGTGGATAGGTATATAGCAATTACAAGGCCGCTCCGATACAAGGTTCTACTCAGTAAGTGGCGCGCCAGAATAATAGTTTGTTTAGTATGGGTCGTGTCTGCCTTAATTTCTTTTGTGCCAATTATGAAAGGGTACTGGCGTTCAGAAGACCCTGAAGCGAAGTCGTGCTACAAACTTGATTCATGCTGTGACTTTGTGACCACGCGCACCTTTGCTATTGTATCTTCTACAGTGTCTTTTTACATTCCACTGCTCATAATGATATTTGTGTATGCCAAAGTATTTCTGATAGCGACACGGCAGGTCCAGCTCATAGATAAGAATCGAATGCGTTTCCAGAATGAGTGTACAACAGCACAGATGCAAGTCAGTCCCCACATCAACAATATCCTGCCATCGGCGTGTGTGGGCTCCACCAGCTGCAACAGTGCAGTGAGGAGAAAGAGTGTCAAGCGAAGGCCGTCACGCCTCATACTGGTCAAAGAGCAGAAGGCCCTCAAGACTTTGGGTATCATCATGGGGACCTTCACTGTGTGCTGGCTGCCGTTCTTTGTTGCCAACATCATAAATGCTTTCAACAGAGACGTTCCCCCTGAGAAGATCTTCAGACTGTTAAACTGGCTGGGTTACATCAACTCCGGCCTCAATCCTATCATCTATTGCAGGAGTCCAGAGTTTCGTGCAGCTTTCAAGAGCCTGCTTGGCTGCCCGTGGCTGTCCACCCCACAGCTCAATACTTTCTATAAAGAGCTGCGGACTCGCTGCTCATGCTTTCTATGGCAAGCTGAGTCAGGCACAGCTGGCTCTTTCCAAAAGTCTCCGACCAGTAGGACTGAGGGTAACGAGGGCTTGGCCACAAATGAGGAGGCTTCCCCTGGTCCTCTGCAGTCCAACGGCAGCACACAGTTCAGTGACTTATCAGAACCAGAAACCAAATTGTAAGTTCCTTTGTCTTATCTCATTTTCACCTTATAGTGCACTTTATAACTGTGATGAATGTTTCACTTTGTACAAACACATGAATGCATCTACCTCCTTAAGTACAAAAGTGATGTCAGTGTTTAAAGACGAGGAAGTGTAAAGTTTTGACAGCTCATGCTCACCCACTGACTGTCAAACACAAAAACAGCAGTTAACGGCTACACACTTACCAGTCTCGATGGCAACATCTTCATTATACAACATTAATGTGCATTACTACAAAGTCACACTTTGTGTCTAACTCTTCTGAAAGTTTTAATTGATAAAATGATTAAATAAAATATCTTTTATAATAGTACACATAGTATTACATTTTGAAATCTCAGTGCATCTTATTTGAGAGTAGCTCATAAATTTCTGATCAACTCTGTGATACTGAAAGGACAGAGAGGTTTATTAGGTTACTGTGACTGCAGCCACTGGTTTCAAATCTCAGATTTCCTATGTGCTTTTGTCCCTTTTTTCCATTAATTCCATGTAGCTTAGTGTTACATCAGTTGCCTATCATGTGGCATGTGAGCAGACCATTTGCACGGTGAAGCAGAAGTGTGAAGACTTACAGTGAATGTCACGGAGAATCAAACAATTTACATTGCTTACTGTTTTTGGACAGCCTGCTGTGGATTAACAGGGTACTGCACAATAATGGTGATAAAAACACACCTACGCATGTGTACTTGTTGTGTGCTAGTTTCAGTTTAAAAAATAATGGAACACAACAAAATGCAAAATGCTTTATAAGTAATTTCTAGTATTACAAAAAGCCACTCATTATTAGGGAAAACTCTTAAACATTTTAAACTGGTTTTTAAAGGCGTCTTTAAGGGTGGGTTTCATGATGTTCAGAAACTAAACATTAAAATAGTTAACAGAAAAATATCTATTGGTTTTCCTCTCATCACATAATATATTATATGTATATATAAATGTGTGTGTGTGTGTGTGTGTGTGTGTGTGTATACACACACACACACACACACACACACACACACACTTATGCACTGCCTGTATATATAACCTTTATATACAGTATATACTGGTTTGACTGTAGATAACCACACACCCACCTGGCATTCTGCTTACTATATACAATTGATATACAGTATGCACAATATAAAGACAAAGATATTCAAAAATATCCTCGGGGCTACAGATAAAATTTGATCAAATATGAGTGAGATAGAAAATGGCTATTTTATTGCCCACTGTGCATTTAATAAAAGTAGAAATCCATATTTGGACATATTCTAATACGTCAATGTGCTGCTCTCCTGAAGTAAAATAGACTGAGAGGAACAGTGCAGAAAAATAAATCATTTCTGAAGAATTGGCTGCTGTTGGGCTGTTAGCTGAAGCTGAAGCTAAAAGTGAAACATAATATATGGGTTTTCATCCTTGATTAAATAAACCTTTGAGGACTGCACCTGTATGGGTTACTGCACATCTTTTAATCTGGCTGATGTCAATGTGGTAAAAATAACTCACAGATGCCCACAGTACAGTACAGTACTGTGTTTGGGGTGGGTAGTTTGTTTTTTAGCACACTTGTTAATAATAGATAACAACATCATTAACCAATTTTGTATTTTATAGAAACCTCAAACTGTAAATGTTTTTTTTTTTTTCTTGGGCAATTTCATTATCTGGTATCTGAAAGAAACTGTGTCCCATCATGATGAAGATGACTGTAAAGTGGCTCTGTAAAACCGCAGGACGATGTGTGCAAGCTTAATTCCGAGAACAGCATGGCACATTTGAGGACATTTTTAAATGTTGGTTTGCCTCCCTGCCTGTCAGTGGGCCTCAGTGCGCCCTGCCCAACACCCCCTGCAGAAGATAAATCTTTATCACTTACACACAAGACTTCCCCCATAACTGGAGAGGCTGTTTACAAGACAGACAGCCAATGAGAACCCCCTCGTTAACACAGGTTAACTGGGGTAGGACGGCTGAATATTTGATCCATTATTATTTAATACACCACAAGCCGAAAGCAGTCAGCCTGTCACATACAAGAAGATACATCCTTATAATTGTGAATTATGGTCTAATTGGTAGAATTTAGAAAGTTTTTAGCTTATCTGTGAAGTAATAATGAATGAATTTGCTGTAAATTTGAAGTTTCTGGTCTGAATTTAGTTGAAACCCTTTTTTTTTTTTTATTTTATTAAACTTAAATTTCAGTAACAAAGTTTAGAAATGACTTACAAGATTTCAGATTCAGTTCCCAGAGGGCTTTCTGTTCATTATTATTATGACTTTATTATTACAAATAAGACAAAGAATATACTTTACTTTACAAGTATGACTGTTGAAAATGTAAGAACTTATCATAATAACTAATATTTAATAACCATGTAGGGTTGATGTCCCCAACATGTGTCATAATTGAAGTTTTTAAGTGCTGTTATGTTGTCAGCTTTTGTATGAGCTGTCTTTGGAATTGTATATATGAATTTCTATATCTATAAAATAAGTTGTTCAACTACAGAGCACAAAATTTAAATTCACAACTCCAAATTCAATTTCATTTGACAAGTGGCACAACTCTTACATGACAGAGTGCCTTGCCTTGGCATATGAATTCCCATGAGTAACCCAGTTTTATGACAGAGGGATGTTTCATTTTAAATATTTACATTGCAAAACTATATATCATGTCTCTATTCTCTTTACATGACATCCCCTCAGTGGAATTTTACAGACATAATCAATGGGGCTGTAAAACAGGAGACATTTAGAAGCATATAAAAGTCTTCCTTAAAAGGAGCCTGGTGTGTTCTGTAGTAAATCAGCCCAAGGGGAAGGCTCAGCCGACTCACCCTGTGCTTTGAGCAGGATTACAAATGTAAGTGAGACCAGCCGCTGGAGAATGACTCTAACAGGGCCACGGCTCCAAGACAGGTTTCGTGAAGGAATATGACAAACTGTTTCAGGTAGGGTCTGGACTGCTGAAGATGTTGCTTCAGAGTGCCAATAATGCCATGCTAGGTATCTGGAGACCATGTGCTCCACAGTCATCCCTGTCAACTTTCTACATGTATTTAACTTGCAACGCAAAAGAGCAGCTGAGCAGCATATTTCCTCTAAACCCCACGACAACATGTAACAGCAGGGTTACTTAAGTCAGGGGCTGATGTCTCCCAGGGCTGATAAAAAGCAAGGTGCAACCACTGACATGAGTGGTTACTAGGGACAGGTGGCTGCCCCACAAAGCACAGAATGGCCATTATCAATGGTTACTTTGTTTTCACAGAAATACATGCAGGCATATCACTGCTGCCCTTATCAACATCCACAGCAGCTTCCAGCCTCTGTCACGTATGCACCATGTTACAAGTGCAATTTTTCACAGATTCCCTGCGTAACAACAATTTTAATACACCTTGTATTAGAAATGTTTTGATCTTCACGAGGGTTTTGTTGTGGCTTTGTTTGTTTTTGTCAGTCATGTTGCTCGAAAGTGAGACAGCCTGTTTCTACATTAGACCAACTATGTGTATTGGAGTTATTTAAGACAAAGTCGTCATATATTTGAAAGGCATCGCTGTGTGTTATGAGCAGAGGGAGTTTGTTAGCACAGTTTATCCGTGATTGAGCACAGTAAAGTTAAGCTAACAGAGAACGGAACATTTTATTTCATAGGGCAGCTGCCAACTAGGTTGTGGACTAAATTGCAGTGTGAAAGTGGAGCAGAAACGAAGAGTTTCTGTTAGATATCTGATGGAGTGGTTTCGAAACATGACTACAACTCTCCTCTTGAGCGGATTAAAGACACAGGACTAGTATGCTTGCAGAGTTACATTTACAGCAGCCACAGAGGCATGCGAGTGCATGGAATAATATCATTATTATAGAGCTCATACTCTACAGGAAACACGTTGTGTGCTACAGCTGTGCCGGTGCATCACAATTAAAGTATCAAGAGACACGCGTGAGGAAACGACTTGTGAACATGTTGCTGAGTAACTGAGAAAACAGCTTGATAAAACGAAATCTCGCACAGCCATGAAAGGCACACTAAAAATAGTTTCCACCCTTGAAAAACTAGGGATAAACATTAATATGATATCATGTGTAAAGCAGACGCTAATGGCACATTGAGAAGAAATCACTCAGTGTAGATTTTGCTCTAAAACAATATCTGATGACCAGTGCAGGTGTTTACACTGAACTGTTGTTGACTCTTTTCTCATTGGTAGCCAACAGAAAAATCTGCTCATAAGCTAAAATTGAAGAAATATGGTACATATTTGGATATATGTTCTTATTCTCTGCTTGTGAACTTTCAGCTGTGGCGAGCTAAAATAAGCACAAATAACCAGACATCACACAAAGCAGAGAGAGATGGTGGAGAAGTATAAATACTGACTCACTAACGTCACCACAAGTGGCTCATTACTCCAAATGATTGTGTAAATATTTCAGACATATTAGTTGACAACTCATAAGGACTAATCTAAAAGGACATTGTGTTTATAAGCCTGGCATCTAAGGTTTATACTGTAGGTAACTGTGTGTTACAGGAGCAAATTGAATCATTATCCTGGCTAAATATGAAGATATAATTGTGTTTCCCACACATGCATGCTGTATCCTCCCAAAGCACCTGATGCTGTATTAAAGGCCACTTTGTTAGTGTGAAAAAATATTGCATGAAGTAAATATGGAAGAAAATTGAATAAAAGTGTAAACAGTTATTTCTAATGTGCCATGCACTGTGCAGGATAAGTCATGTGTTAAAACAAGAATTTGAACTGGCGGCAGACGTTTTCTGCAGAGCCTGTGATTGACAAGCTCTTTACTACACTGAGCTGCTAATGTGTGGCAGGTTACAGCTCCATGTGATTTCAAAGCGACCTGTGTAATAGGTTAAGGCACTGCAGTGAGCATATCATTAGGCACACATTAGGATGACATGATGTTTTGATGGTGTTTTAGGAGGGGCCTGTGTGCGCTAATACTTTTTTTCCTGTGCTGTGAACCCTGTAAGTCTGAGCTTTTCTCTGCAGTATGCTAACAGTGCCTCTGACCCAACTTCTCACACTGATTTCCATAATGTAAATTTAATTAGAGCGAGATCAGGCCTGAGAGAGCATGAAACAAGGAGCGAGATAAAACAAAACATGTTGGTTGTGACCTGTGGGAAACCTCCAACACTCCCTTTCAAGCCTGGCTGATATCAGAGCCAATCACTGCATCATTCTTTAAAAAGGAGGCATCCGGGACTTGAGCAAACACTTAAAAAGGGTTCAACTTTAATTTGTTAAGGTTTGTACAGATAAAAACGCAATAAACTCCAACTGGACGTTCTTTTGCTTTATCCATATAACTGAAGCTTTCCATATCAAGATTGTGTATTACATTAACAACAGCAGAATGCAAGAGATCTATATTCTAATGCTTAATATCTGATAAATAATGAATAGATGATTTTAACTATTAAAATGCAATATTTGTATTGTATTTCAAAGCTGTTGGTATTATTCAACAGATTCAAGTGTAACGCTTGACTTGATCATAAAAATAGAAAATGATTTTCTATTACACTGATTTACTGTACTCAGAGGTGGTTTGTATATAAATCGTTCAGTATATTCTAAATACATTAGTATATGATAGTTCTGTTCTCCTATTGACTTCCTTTTATGTTGATCAGGATTAATTACAGTATCACTCATTTTGACAATTACAGCTTTCGATACTGGACTTGCTGATTGATTGGTCTGGTTACATATGACCGGTGGTTGTATTATGGCTGTTCTAAGTTTAATTTTTAGGGATTCACACTTTTTATTTATTGAAGATTTACATTTAGTTCAGAATTCAGTAAGAGATTCACAGTGTTGTAGATTACAATACATCTGATTTAATGTCAAGCTCTACTTTTCATAGGAAAAATCCTCTGTAGCTGAGTTTTGTTTCATAATGAGACTCTGCTATGTTATAAACATTTCTTTAATCATATGTACATTTTTTAATATTCACCCCTGCAACTTGTAGAACCATCAAAAAACAAAGTAGTGAAAATATGATAACTAATTCATTTCTATTTGCAGTCATTATGTTGGTGAATGCTATCCTGACTTGACGGACAGATTTTAAGACAGAAAATACACACGCCACAGATGATGGATGAATTTTCCTTCATTTTGATGAGCTTAGCTCCATTAACTTGAACGGAGACTCTGCATGTTATGCCTGTGGTTTGTAATAGAAAATAATCCAATGACTCAACAGTGAATGTGAGACTCATCAGAATATATAACAGGTTATTATTGCTGGAGGGTTTTTTTTTTCCAAATGCATCAGCTTAAAATCACTAAACTTTACCACGAGCGCAATAGACGAAAGGCTGCAGTGATTCAACTGTACATACTGTGAAAAGACTTAAACTATGGGAATTCTGATGAAGCCACACTGTAAATTACTTCCTTCATATTTCTTCCTGTATGCTTTCACATTACTGTGTATTTTAGAGTTATGGGTAGTTTATGTCTTCCTGTGGAGACATGTACAGTGGAGGTGATAGCATCAGAATTCCTGTCTTGTTGGGGAAAAAGGTAGAGTTTCACAAAAGATAAACCGATGAGGGCAACTTTGTAATTAGAAGGAAAAAATAAATAAAAAAAAGGGAACAGGTACAATGATTATATCAAGGTTGTTTTCTCCATGAAAACACAAACATACCTATGAATAACCTGAAAGACAACAAATCAATGTTGTTGTCTTGGCGCCTTCTTATCTGATATGACCTGAAATACTGCACAGGGTGTGACCAGCACAGGCCAACAGGTAACACAGAAATGCACAGCAAGAAGCTCATTGTTTGTAGGGTTACATCTCAAAAGGGCTGCACAGCAAATCAGAGATATATCAGAGACTCATAATGACATAGGAAGCTGGCATTGGCATCAGGTACTTTCCAGTGATACTGAAATCCAATGAGATTTTGGATCTGTTCATCATGGTCAACTTCAGCCCCTTATCTTAACTTTTACAACCGAGATCAAATAAGCACAATTACAAAACAGAAAGTCAGACTGATTGTAATGACAATTCCTCCCAGATTGATGTCCTACTCCTACTACTTTTAAAATACTCTTTGTGCATGATAAATCATGTGTCTACTGTAGTAGGGGCATTCACTACAATAGAAACACTAAATATGTCCATCTCTTTTCAGCTTCACGTTGCAGGAAAAAGACTGATGAACTGTAAAATGTCAAGCTACTGAAGCAAACTATGTTCTCCAGCCATTACTGTGACTGCTGTGAAGGTTGAGACCAAACAGCAGTGAAGACAAGCTAAAGAAAAGACCACTGGCCCTGATGAACGTAGCTGAACCCCAAAGAGATGAGTGGATTGACTGTTCGGGGAGACAGACAGGAACCCTGTGACTGTCTCTGTGGACAGGAGCTGGCCTGCTGCAACTCAGCACTTCACAGACATTAGCTGACACCAAAGTTGAACCGCCCAGTGTCATCTAAATACTGTTTGCAAAAGACTCTCTGTTCCTGAATAAGACTCAACTCCAAGGTTTGAATGCATTCCAGTAAACCTTTGGACACACTGCATGTGGCCTGTGGTTTCAAAAATGTTAGACAGAAACAAATTTTGTACAGTATATTATCTGGTAAGTTATCTATTTATGATACACTGACTCTGTAGCAAAATACAAAAGTTGGCTAACTTGATACAAGGTCGTAATTTGGGCAAGGTTGTCTTTACTGTCCAGTTAAGAAAGATTCATTTTCCATCACATAAACTGTTCAGTGTAATATCAGCTAAACCAAAGGGCTGTGCATTCAATACTCAATTCTGGTATCTGATTTCAGTCTTAATTTTTCTCCGCACAATAGTTATCTTGCTTAAATCCCCTACTCTATATTAAGTTATACCATGGCTATGAAAAAATGGCTGTTAAAATGTTAAATCAGGACATCTCAAACAAAACTCATTACAGTTTAACCATTAACCACCATGTCATTGTGCAAGGTACAGTATTAAAAAAAAATGCAGGTTAATGTAGCAAAACACGTTCACTACATGTTTCCAGAAAACTCCCTTCCCTTTCTTCCTTTGGTAAACAGCCATGGTATAAGCTTGATAACACACTCTGAAATGTCCAAATATAGAAAAATAATGGACTTGACGCCATCCATTATTTTGTTGTACTGGGACACCTTGTTGTGCATTATTACTTACATAACATCATCTGTTTCATTGAGAAATAAAAAAATAAAACTGTGTAACACTGGTCATGTCTACTTTGTGTGCAAACAACCGGACATATAATTGTGAAATTTGAATACCACTGATCAAGCCTCTGCCCTATGATGTTACGTTCTATCAGTAAGACAACTGCAAATGACCAACTCAAACCATGAACATTTGAATTTTTTATCGTGTTTTAAATTTTTGAGAAATGTTGAAATATTATTAAATATTATTGGCCTCCATACACCACAGTCATCTCCAGTCAGCGTCTCATCGCTCTGCACTACAGTGGCTCCCAAATGTTTTTGCCTGAGACCCCCTGCGAGTTATAATCAGTTTGATTAAAGAATGGTTCGGTTTCATTCTAAGGATTTTTAGAGGCCTGAGGAGGTGAAAGTATCCAGTACTTTCACAAGAAAAAAACTGTGATACATTTTTTATTCTTTCCCATCTCCTTAATCAACTCATGAACCCACAGATTTATCTTGGGAGTCCCTGGGGGGGGGGGTCTCTGTAAGATTACAGTTAATATTAGCTTCAGAGAAAATTCTAAACATCACAATTTTTCTTGTTTTAAGTAGTCACCCACACACTGAAACCACCATCATCTCTGGCGCTGCTACTGTTTAAGCAGAAATCATGTTATGTTATAAGAGGAATTTACAAGATTTGGGACTTTAAAAAATAAACTAAGAGCAGAATGCAAGACATTTGAAAACAAACTGTGACCAGCATTAGCTCTGCCAGGCGGGCTGTGTGACTTCTGAAATATCATCCAGCAAAAAGCCACAACAACTCGGAGTGGAAACAATTATCCTGTCTGAAGTCAAGCCATATTCTTATCAGCTGATTCCCTCTACAATGTTTTCCATGAGCAGGATTAAATCAATTTTACAGATTCTAAACATTTTTTGGGGAAAATAAAATTGAAGCCACCACTTAACATATGACCAGGTCTATTTGACAGGAAACACAACTTGCTGCGGAATGAAAACTTATCCATGTGTATGTCACATACACATTTCATGTCAAACAATGGAATCGAATAGTTTTTAAACTATAAACTTTTTTTTCCTGTGCCAACATCTTGTCCTGAGCTGGGTGCTAGGGCAGTTTTCGTCAGGACAGGCGGGTATTTTCAGAACACAGAGCACTACAGACAAAGAAAAAGTCCTTTGACACCAGACTTCAGAGCTCACCAGTTAGATGCCATTTAATCTAATTGAGTCACCAGCACCTTAATTAGATAAAGTATCGTAGATTTGTCCTGATAACATGGTGGCATGACTAAGGCTCATACCACTGAGTCCAGCTTGCAACCTCTATTATGGCATCGTCTTCCTCACTACTATTAATAATAGCCTCCTGATAAGACAGTTTAGTGGTAGATATACTGTATGAATCAAGAAATGCCTTTTACTTAGATGAATACAAGCATGGAGTCACAGAATCAACAGTGGCTTCATTATAGGAATTTTGCTAATATAGCTTTGTACCTGCGTTTCTGGGACCATTTTGTTGTTTGGCTGTAATCTTTCTTCCTCCAGTGGACAACTGGGCAAACACAGACAACCTGACATCACACAAATATTTCAGCTGTAGCCGCAATGCAGTTTGATGCGAGGCAAACATGTCCAGCAATTGACAAAGTCATAGGTAAATGTTTCCCTCAGAATGAAATGAAAGCCAATTTTTTTCTACGCTCACCATTCTGTGCTGACATTCAACAACCACACTAGGAATAACCCATTCACAGCAAGGGCAAAGAGACAGATTTCTGTACAGACAGCTGTCTTGTTGGTCTAAAATACAATGCCATCTCTGAGGAATGTATTACATTTTAGGAAAAGATGCATCTCTCCCTATCATTTGGCTGGGGAAAACACCACTGTTACACATATAGGCTAATGCTACTACTAATTAGCTCATTCTCTGATCATAGTTACAGGGAAAAATAGCACACATTACATGGGATTAAACAGGCTGGAGAAATCTTTTTTTTTTTTAAATTACTCTGGGTCAGCTAATTGAAGGGACTAACTGCCTGGTTTGGCCATCTACTGCCATCTAGTGCAGTGATTTGTGATTATCAGCTGTATAAAGTGAACTACAAAGCCTTGGCTCACTGGTTTATCTGCCATATAATAAATGCAAGATGTTTACTTTGATTTCACTTACTGTGAGATTCACTGCCTCCTCTTCATCCCCACAAAATGGCTGTTCCTCAATTCTCTGCCCAGAAGAATTGCTCTATTTCCCAGAGGCTCGGTGCAAAAGCACTATAACCTGGAGAGCAAGAGGGGAAGCTGAATGTCTCTGCTTCATTGGGAATAGAGTAAGAAAGTGTGACTTGGTGCACAGGCACAAACAGACACATTTTGTATCATCACTATCAGATTCAGACTGCAAAGGGGATGTAATTCTACTGGCTAGAGGAAAAAGCTAGGAGGATTAAAAAAATAAAAAATAAATCATCTACTCTACAGAGATAGATCAGTGAAAGCCATGGAAAAAGCAACTCTTTTGCAAAATGTACAAAATATTCCCAGCTAATGTCTATCCCACTGAACCTGAAGCATTGTTTAAATTAAATGCTGCCTCCTGACTCACTTCCTCATTGTGTCTTCATTGATTTAAGGAAGCAACACGCCTGTTGTACAACCACCAAACCTTAATGAGGAGCATTTTCTTTTCTTTTTGATTTGTTGTCAGTGTTAGAGGCTCAAGCAAATACATTTGAAACTGGCCTCGTCTTGACCAAGACTGATAACTGATCCTTTCATTTCCAGATGGGCTAGCCTATTTGATGATAGCTGAGTGTGATGGCAAAAGTAAACTCACCAGACCCACAAATTAGGGAGTGACAAACTCATCCATCAGCGTTGCCGGGGTGACAATATCCAAACGTGCTGTAGCTTGGCAACAGTGGCAAAACAAAAGGCTTGCAGCTAGCGGTCTGATTTGGCTCGCTGGGTTCAAGATGAGCCGACCCAGCAGTGGCCATGATGAAAAAGGGGTCAACCAAAATGGAGACCCGGGAGGTCATCACTCTGTGTTTACCAATACCCACTCCGCAGCGGCAGCGAGTTCTGAAACAAAACTATTGTCCGCCTTCAAGACGGTCACTCAGGCCAGGAAAGTGTACCTGGGAGGAAGAGGTGAGTCCACTAATCCGCCTTTACTTATGACGCTTTTCAATTGTTGTTTCTTCAACGGTCCGACTCGGAAACAAGAGGAGAGGGAGGGGTTTTATAGTGCCACTCTCAATTTGCATATATTGCGCTTCAGTCAGTTATAAATGTTTTAATATTATCTGTTGTTAGACAATTGGGCTTCTTTGCAAGAATGATGCCACGTCATAAATAATGGGCCTTTCACAGGCCTACAAAAATCTGTAAACAATAAAAAACACTGGTGCAATGGTGCAAGCTTTCATGGTACATAGACAAGAGCTATGACAGATTTTATCTGGCTCCATCAGCTTTAAATCAGAGCATGAGACACATGTGGTCCATTTACACTGAATTACTGACTCAATCTGGGGGTTCATGGATATTTTATTTGACATATACAGTAGTTCACAGTGAACCAGAATTTCATAACATCAATAAATACAGATAGTGCCAAAGTATAATAGTTCTCTGTTTATGTAGCAGAGGCTCCATGATTTGTGTCACTGGTGAAACAGGCGCAAAGTGTCCATGTGATTTCATCAACAGATTTCTGAAAGGGCGTTTTAAAGCCTTCAAAGTTTAACCTTGTAGTAATCACCTGTTTCCAGCTGAAAAAATTGGGACAGTTCTTGAAATACCTGCAAGCAAACTCAATCCTAAAATCAACCTTTTTGCACCTTATTATCTTCTTAATGGTTCAATAATTTTATAAATCTTTACCTAGACATACCATGCAAACTAACAACTAAGACAACAACTTCTTAACCATATTGCCAGTAGAGGATCTGTACCATATCACATTTACATATCACATGTATTTAAGAACTACTTCTGTTTTAGGGTGGACTTTCTGAGACTCTCAGTTAGGATATAGTTCCCCCTCATTGTTTTCCTTTTCCAAATCACTTTTATATCTTTTTCACAGTTCCACCCAGTGTTATTTTGGATGAGAAAAACGTTTGCAATAACTGTCTTTCACAGAGTATTACAGCGAGGAAGGGAAGACCTTTGAATTGCGTCTTGTTGGGAAAATAAAGCAACAGTTAAGTGCTGACCCCACATTTTGCCCAGAGTATCCATCCTCTCTCGGGCTGACAGAATTCACCAGGCGAGCCACAGAGGTGGCTTTGGGGAAGAGCTCTCCGGCTATCGTGGAGAACCGGGTAATCTCAGCTGTACATATACACTGTAACTAATTATAGTTTAGGTATCCAATTACAATTCAGTTCGTGCAGCAACAAACACAGAGGGATGAAGCAGAAGCCTGTAGCCAGTCATCAATTCCATCAGCCCTGTCATTACCTGGACGCACTGTGCAGATGAATCTGTTATTATTCTGTCATGTATTTAAATCCAGCTTCAACAGCAGAAAAAATCAATACAAGATCAGCACCACGGAGGTTTATCATCGTAGTTGTAGCTCAGCTCTTGGTGTTTCCTGACTTTTGGTGCAGGTGTTAGGTATCCAGACTCCTAGTTTTTCTGCTGCAGTGCGTCTTGGGGCTGAACTCTTGACACACTGGTACAATGTCAGAGCTGTTTGGTGCGGCCCAGTCTACCTCTCTTCCCCTTGTGATGGTAAGTAAAACCTCACCTCACACAACCAGTTTATTGGCTTTTAAATGTTGGCAAATATGACAGTGTGCGTGGTGTGGGTGTGCATTCTTAACTTTTTAAATGATAGAAATTATAAAATATAATTTCTAAACATGAAAATACACTATATGTGAGAGAGAAACCAGATAGAAACTGTAATCATATTACAATTGTAGCTCAGACTAGAGGTTAAAAGGTTATAATTCAATTATTTTCAAAAAGTATTCACCATGAAATGAAAAAAAGAATCATATTCACTCTGAGCGGTGGCAGCATACTGTAATTACATGCTAGGATATCTTGAGGAGTTTGTTCTGCTTTAGACATCTAATATAATGTTTTTCTTGATCCTCCTTGCAGACTCATTGGCTGGTATCTTCCAGGCAGCAGGGATAGAAGATATCCGTGAGTATTATTACTGGGATGACAAGCAGCGGGGTGTTTGTTTGGAGAAGCTTCTGGAGGATCTGGAGAGGGCTCCTGAGCAAAGTGTTGTTGTTTTGTCAGCATCTGCCCACTACCCAACCGGAGCTGATCTCACTCAGAAACAATGGACCGTGATTACACAACTCATCATGGTAACTAATGTGTACATTTATGTTCTTAAACAGAGGCTAAAATTATTTTTATTAGACAAATAGCTCTTATCCCCTGATTAAATCATCATTTACTCGCTCGGCACTGTTTCAACAGAGGCGTAGGCTTTTCCCTTTCCTCTTGCTGCCTGCTCAGGCGCTCTGCTATGGAGATTTAAATCGGGATGCCTGGCCCATACAGCACTTTGTATCGCAGGGGATGGAGCTCCTTTGTGCTCAGTCATTCTCCCACTGCTTTGGCCTATACGGTGAGAGAGAGATGTTAAAAAAATTATTTATTTCAAGGATTTGTCACTCCTATGGCCAAAGGCCAGATGAGCCCACACTACAAACTAATACTGTATTATGATGTTAAAGCAACACAAAGTACCACTGTTCTGCTATTTAAAGAAAACATAGTGAGTCAATCTGAACTCAATTTTCTTTTCTTTTGTGCAGACAGATAGGGTTAGGCAAAAGTAACAACGGTCTTAATGACTGTTTGCCAGAAAGTGCATGCTCATAGTATCAACAGCGTCACAGTCACATTTTATGTTGCCTTTCAATTTTACAGAGCATTCAGGAAGTATTCAGGCCCCTTCACTTTTTTCACATTTTGCTATGTTGCAGCCTAATGCTAAAATCATTTAAATTATTTTTTCCATCATCAATCTACAATCAATACCCCACAATGGAAAAGTAAAAACAGAAATTTAGAAAAAAAAGAAAATCACATTGACGTAAACATTTACACCCTTTGCCATGACAATTGAAAATTAGCTCAGGTGCCTCCCATTTCTCTTGATCATCTTTGAGGTTTCTACACCTTGATTAGGTCCACCTGTGCTAAATTCAGTTATTGGACATGATTTGGAAAGGCACACACCTGGGAGTACGGAAGCACACAGCCAAGACGATGCAGTAATGGCTTTGGCTTTGGGACTTGGCTTGAGCCCTGACTTTAAACCACTCAAACATCTCTGGAGAGACTTAAAAAGGGATGACTAACCCTAACCCTAACCATTGGGTCCTCTTCCAGCCTGACAGAGCTTGAGAGGATCTGCAGAGAAGAATGGCAGAAAATCCCCAAATCCAGGTGAGCAAAGCTTGTTGCATCATACCCAAGAAGATTCTAGGCTGTAATCGCTACCAAAGGTGCTTCAGCTAAAGGATCTGAATACTTATGTCAGTGTGATATTTCAGTTTCTCCTTTTTGATAAACTTGCAAAATTTTTTTACAATTTTAGCATAGGGGATTCTCAATACTTTCTGAATGCTATGTACTTTCTTGAGAGCTCTGTATTAGCATCATGTAACTCATTGGCAGGCAGATCAGCTTTTTGCTTGTTTCTCTATGATCTGGTTAATATTCACTTGATCAGAACTGAGTGGCTAATTTTCAGTAGTGGCATTGTAAGAGATAGAGAGTATAACATTACATTACTATCGCTGGAACACAGTGTCTTTACACTAAGCTCATCTTCTTCTTCCCTTCACCAGGTGAGGCTGTAGGACACCTCCTGTGCATCTTAAAACAGAACTCCCCCCTGTTGTCTGTGCAGTCTCAAGCTGACAGGATAGTCAAATCACTGTGGGCCCAGCCATCTGTAGGAGGAGCACATGTTGTTGCCGCAGTGCTTAGTAACCCCGCCCATCTTGTTGAATGGTGAGTTACGCTCCGCTTGAATGAAGAATCTGGAATTTAAAAAATGTGGCTTGGACGGTATCATTGCTACTGTGTCAGTAGATGTCCCTAATGATGGCAGTGTTCGGGCAACTCCTTCATGCATGTAGGGCTCCGAAAGGTTGAATTGGCAGTGTCCTTAGCATTTAATGGTACTAGAGACAAAATGCTCACTGGATTTTTTTTGTTATTTTGCATGCAGGTATTGAATTATATACTTAAGATTTTTATTTCCCAAATGGTGTCCACTGTGTTTCCAAGGCAGGGAGAAGTTAAGCGCATGGTTGAGAGGTGTATGCTGATCAGGGACATTTTGAGAGAAAAGCTGAGACTCTTGGGTACCCCAGGCTGCTGGGACCACCTGACCCAACAAGGTGGACTCTTCTGTTGTACAGGCTTGAATGGTGAGGAGCAAACAGCAGTTTCTGCCATGTTGGACTTAGGTAGAGCTATTTTTCTAATAATCTACAGCAAATGATTCACTACAAAATCCTCTGTTGACAGCATGACAGAACACTGATTGATATTCATAATAGTAATAATAGTTTTCTCAGCTCTTGCTTTTCTGTTCTCCTCTGTATAATCCTTTTAAACTGGTGATTGGCATTTACAGTGCTTTGTTTTACAGATTCAGCACTTTGAACTCATTGCCTGACCTTCTGGCTATGTTTGAGTAGAATATGCAACTATTACACTTTATACATTGTTCCAAAAATATGTTTGGCTCACTTGATGTCTGTACAGGCACAGGACTTAACCTTAATCAGTGTTCATTAAATGAATATTCATGATTTTGTTTCCATCAAAGGGATTTGCAGGGATTTTTTTTTTTAATAGAAGTTTACAGTCTGATTATTCAACAATAAATATGATTGCTAATGATATATTTCTTTTTTCCAGATTTGCCAATTTTTTATTTATTTTTTTTAAATTTTTTTTATAAAAACACTACCATTATCTTACAATAAAGTAAAAAAGTTACACAATGATATTATCATATTATGAACTTTCTCTGTACTTTTTTTTTGGTCTGCTTTAGATCAGCAGGTGGAGTTTCTGTCAAGGAGCAGACACGTGTACCTCCTTCCCAGTGGCTGTCTAAATGTGAGCGCAATCAACGGTCATAACCTGGAATATGTAACTGACTCCATCCATCTGGCCCTGACCACTTCACTCTGACCATGTGGCTTTTGATCAAGATCTGAAATCAGTGCCACGGGGGCTTTTCAGCCTCGCTGAAATACATTCATATATCACATTGAAATGCTCTGGTTCAAGAAAAGTACTTTTGCAGTTGCAGCTTTTGCAAAGTAAATGCTGTTAAACGTATAGAAAACGGTAACGCTAAATGTAGAGCTTCTGACCTTTCATCATGTAAGTCCAGTCATTAGTAACTGAGACCAGGTTGTGATGCCCTTTCAGGTGAGACACATGAATAAAGGATGTGTTCATGTGTCCTGTGTGTGGCAGTAGCTCAGCCATATTAAGTAAAAAGAATATGGCAGTGCAGTGATCCTTTTGTTAAAATTCTGCCAGTTGCTCAAAGACTGACTAACTTCAGTGTATATTTATATATTCACATGAAGTACTGCTTTGGTGATTATGTTGGAGACTGACAACCACCAGCCCTAAATCTCTAAATCAACACACTTCATCTGCTGTGTTTAATCCATCCAAAAACTTAAGAGTAAAAACGTCACTTTGCAATTTCCATTCCTGGTAGCATCGCTAGTTTAGCAGCCCATGTCACGTCCTGGTTGAGAGGAGGATCGAAACCCATTTACCAGTACAGATAGACTCCCGATGGAGGTTTAGATAACAAGCTGTTGGCTGTATCTTAAAAGGCAAATAGATTGGTATCAATCTTCTCATCAAACTCTCAATGGGAAAATCATTATATCGATATAACCATTCCTTCACATACTGTAGTGGGCATGTTCAAGTGATCAACATCATGACCGGGTGTGAGTCTTTCTCTATTAAATTGACTCTTCAGTGAGTTGTTGTAGTTTGAATTTTGTAAAATCTGAGAAGGTATGGTATGTGTGGCTATATACTGGACATAGTTACACATCAACACTATCTAATATAAGATGAATCAAGAGCTTATTCATGCCACAAAGGTAACCTATAGAGGGAAGAGCCTCAGGTGAGCAGCCATATATTGCTTACCGCATTTAGAGCAGAAAATATGCTTCACAATTTCCCTTCAGTTACTGTGAACAGTAGTCAGAAAAATATGTCACAAATGTATTGAAAACACACACTCTGCACACAGCAGTTTTGCTGAGTAAACAACCTTGACCAAAACATCACCACAAATGTCTGTGCTTCTTTCAAGTGAGTCTCTTCTTGTGCAAACATTAACCATTTTCCAGCCATAAGCTTGATGCATTTCTTTATCACTGCTCAATATATCTTTTGCCACATATTACACATCAACCAGTTTCATGTGAGCATGCAGTACTACAATCATATCTGACTATCAAAGTGGCAAAAGTTGGAAAAACAAGAAACCAAACCATTTTTAATGAAAACATTTTCTTGGTCTGCTTCCTATAAAGTAACCTTTCATCTAAAAGGTGTTTTATTTGTATTGAATTATTTGGAGCCTTTACTGTCAGAGGGTCCAAATAAAGTTTTTGGGAGGATTTCCTTTCCACTCAGCTAAGAAACATTTCCAAATGCTGTGGATGTATTATACAGCAAATGATTGTTCGTCTGGAAACATCATTAAGTAATCCTCTCATCTATCATTCACGTCTGTGTGGCAGTAATGCAGCGATACAAAAATGAGCATTATTTTCTTATTTTGTTGAGAACATTTTTTTTTGGAAAACAGACGGCTTTTATCTGACTAACTTTATATTCTCGGGAGCCGTCCTTTCATTTGTGAGATCGGCCACTATTGTCGCTGCATGATGTTTAGTTCTTGGAAACGGGTTGCGACAAGGTATTTAATGGAGGCAGTGTGCTCGCTCTTTTCATTTCAGTGACCTCAGGTGAACAAAGAGGATAATCAGCATCCACCATCACACAGGCTCGGAGCCATTAGATGCTGTCTGGAGCGCTTTGATTTGCATCTGAGCATGCTTACATGTACACAGTGTTGGCAGATACTGGCTCATATCACAGGTTCCAAGTTCGGGATAAGTTGTTGACATGCATCCTAATATTCCACGTGTAGTTATCACTGCATACTTGAATAAAGAGGGTAGTCTAAATACAAATATTACCATGGAAACTGAACTTACAAGGACTGTAAATAGGAGCAGGATGCTGCTTGTCTTTCAGTTATGATAAAAACCATTTCCTGGGAATCTTTCAATGTGCTGCATTAATCTAGACAGCAGTGTGACTTACTGTCAACTTGGATCAGTTGTTTGACCAATCTAAGGGATTTTTCAAAACCTACTAACCAAGTTCTTCAAGTTCAATACTGTGTTACCACACCTTGATCAAAAGTGTTAGGGAATAAGTAGTTTGAACAAAATTATACAGCTGCTCGTAATCATAGACTAGATAGATAGATCAAAAACCTATAAAATAGTTCATAATTAGATGCTATGACCAAATATTGTACATGGGGCTTGATCTAGAAATCCTACTTCAGTGAATATATGAAGCAAACACTTGAACACTTATGAACTGAAGAATATGCAATAGGCTACAAAGCCCTTCAATGCTGTGGAAATGAAAACACTTTATACAGCCACAAGATAATTTTAGTCCCAATTACATAAATGAATAAACAAAAACATGTTCATGTACTGTAAAATGACAAAAGTAATTGATTTCCTATGCCAAGAAAATGAATTATGTCGTTCAGCTTGGTACCAAACTTAACATAGAGCTTTTTCTGCACCTTAAGTGTCTGCTATTGACTTAAAAAAAAAAAAAAAAAAAAAAAAAAAAAAAAGGGACCAGTGTGCTGCATTCAGGCTCACCTTAAGAATTCAAGGAGTGTCACGATAAGGTAAGGCTGGACCCAAATGCAGCCAACACAGGGGAATGACGTGCAAAAAATGTTTTATTAATGGAGGAACTTACAAAAACTGGTGAACCAACAGAACAGGAAACCAAAGCAGGAGGGCACACAAGGAATAACAACCGGAGACACAGGGGATACCATAGCCGACATGAACAGACTGAGGACTGACCAGACATGAACAGATGAACTGACACAGAAAAAGGGGAGCACAAAGACTATATAGACAAGGGACACAAGGGAGGCAAGGGTGATTGATCACAGGTGAAACACATTAGGGCGGGGCAGACAATCACCACACAGAGAAACAGGACCATGACAGGAAGTAAAAACATTGAGACACACAAGGAAACCAACTACAAAATAAAGTGACAAAAGTTCAAACATAAATTCAAACCTAAAATGTTCGCCATGGCAAACCATGACAAGGAGAGCTGAAATAGTCTTTTCAACAATAATAGAGTATGTCACGCTGCAAATTTCCCCTGTAGCTCATCTCATCTTGCATTTTTGCTTTATAGAATAAATTGTACTGGTTCTTTCTCAGTTGAATACATGACAACTTTGAGCTTGACTTGAAAGTCAAATGACACATTTTGGTCAGAAAGTTACATGTGAAGTGTAATTTTTCATTTCAGCACTTATCTGTCTTTGTATTTTCTGATTTGTTTTGACATCTTCCAGTAGCCTCAAGGATAAGTCCTGTCTTACCTTTTGCCTTAACAGATCCTGCTGACAGGGGACTGAGCTATGACTGGCTGCATGCCAGAAGAAGAGTGGGGAGAGTTAACCTCTGTTGATTACAACCAAACTCTTGTAGCTTTAAATGAACACGCTGAAGCCTCAGACACACTGGGAATACAACTCGTAATGTGTACGTCACATCAGGATCTCTTTTACCAGGCCTGGTCATCTGGCTTCACACCAAGCTATTGATTCAGAATCAGTCCACTGATTCCAGCATGTGGTGGTGATTGTTCGGTCTGTGCCAGCTGGCTTGTTTAGGACAAACAAAGTCAGTTTTAGCTGAAACACCAGAGCTCAATCTCCCCACAAAGGCCACTCAACGTTCAGACATCACATCACGTCATCTCCTTATCAGTCTGCCCCTTAGCCCCTTTTACAAATATTTGTGACCAATGAAGGGTGACAGTTCAAACATGAGAGCCACTGTGGCCATGACCTCTGATGCATTAATCCAGACAGCAGTGAGCATGCATAAAAAATGCCTGTCACCATAGCCCATCACTCATCACTGATAACACAAAATGGAAATTTCATTGTTTCACTGTATTTCTCAATGTGAAAGACTAACCTTTATCAGTGGGGAATATTGAGCCCACTACCCAACGTCAGAGCAAACTAAATTCTCTCTACCCTGTGGAGATAGCTTCTGTTAGTGGTAACTGTACTGCAGGAGTATTGTACATGAATTTTAGTTGAGGCTATGAAGGATAAACTATCCTCCCCGTAGACACCTCCAAGCCTCAGGAGCTCCTGCTGTCAGTCAAGTTTAAAGGCAGATATAAGCGCAAGCCATCATTCATAAGCCGGGCTGCACCTGTTGATCGCCTGGCAACTAACACACAACTCCTAACGACGACTGTAACATCAGTAATTACAATAGAAATGAACATGGAATAAATGCCAAGGTTCAGCGCGCGGATGCGTGGGTTCAGTACCGCTCAGCGTCCATTTGTGTGAGAGGCGCACATCTCTCCAGAGGCGCACGGAGGCTCCGCGCCGGATCTCTTCTGCATTGATATTCTCTAGCTGACAACTGAGAATCAACATACGGTAGGTGTGTTATTTTTTTTTCTTCAATTCCAGATGCAAGATTGTCATGTTAACGTAAATTTAGTTACGCCCGACTAAAAGTCAGTACAGCGACCATTTGAGTTGAGAAGACGAAGCAGAAATGATGCAAACACATGCATTAATTTTTTGCCACTGCAAACTATTTAAAATAATTTTCTCTTTAGAAAAATCTAACTTACTTGTTCATGTTTGAGTTTAAAGGATTTTGATTTGTCCACGTATGATCCTGGTATGTTCGATGTTCGACTTTTGTATATCTGTTGTATCTGTTTCCTTCTATCGCAGGTTGAGAAGGACAGTAAATATTTCTGATGCCTTACACTGATGTTCGTTCACGTTAATGTCCCTGATACCACTGTATCAGTATGCATTTTTTCTGCTTGGCAGAAGGGATGCAGCAGTGTTAAAAAAACAATTCACAAAAAAAAAAAAAACATCTGCTCTACTTGTTACAGCAGAGCAGATCATTCTGTACAGACGCTGTTATGTTTGAGAGTGATTTCAGGGAGGACATTTCAGACTTTAATTATGGTTTTGATTAAACATACTGTGAAATCATAATTAGCATATATGCCTTCGTATTCTATGTTTCACCTGTTCAACACTTTTCACAGATGAGTGTTTTTAATCAGTTCAAATTTTCTATAAGAACTCCACATCTGTTTTTTTTAAATTTAACCAGCATTGTTAACAAATCTGAACAGTCCATTCAAAATATTGGTTTTTGCCAAATATGTTCCTGCTGAGTAACTCCATTCTACCCACAGAGTTCATCATTTATGTCAGTATTGTCCTGCTATCATGCAGTTACTGTATATTGCCATGATGTGTCCTTTAGATTCCCTCAGTTGAATTAAACTCATGTGATGTACAAGCAACGTCTCCTGTGCTGCACATGCACAGAGCAGGTCTGAGTCACACACTTAGCATTGGCTTTAATATTCAGTGTTTGTATTTAAAAAACTGAACGGCATCTGGCTCGTGGTTACTTCTACTTCATGGCAGAATTGCACTGCAGAAATAAACCTCACTCAATTAAGACTTCAAACAGAATGGTAGAAACATAGTTCTGCAGCAGTTTCTAATTATAGTTAGTCAAGGGAAACTTTACTGTATTCTAATAAAAGGAAGTTATTGTCAATACAGTGATTTCTCTCTCTGGAGCTATATGTAGGATTGGAAAATGTGTTATCACAAAGGATTAAAAAGAATTATAAAGAAAGAATTATAATTGGAAAAGGAACTGACTAATTAAAATGCACAGTTTATCTGCAGTTACACAGGATTATAAAATTTCCATTGAACTTAACTGACACACAGTGACACACTTGGAAATTGATATTCATGTCTTTCAGCGTATGCTTGGCTTGGTGGTGCTTCATAGTTTATGGTGCATGCTGTTGAATACATGCACTGTAGTTTATTGTAATCACGATGTCACCCCTCCAGATTCACACCAGCCCTCTGGGATGGAGGGCACAGGCAGTGGCTGGACAGCCGAGCCCACCCCCCCATATGTGATGCATGATGTGAATGGAAATGACACTGGTCAGGTCTTTGAGGTGGCACTGCACAACAGTTCCTCCAAGCGCAGCCCTCAGTTTGTGGGTGTGGAGCTGCTACAGTCCTTCAAGTTGCTCATCATTCCCTGCTACACTCTGGTGGCTCTGGTGGGCGTGTTTGGCAACTACCTGCTCCTCTATGTCATTTGCCGCACTCGCAAGATGCACAACGTCACCAACTTTTTCATCGGAAACCTGGCATTCTCTGATATGCTGATGTGTGCTACATGTGTCCCCTTCACACTGGCCTACGCCTTCAACCCACATGGCTGGGTGTTTGGGCGTTTCATGTGCTACCTGGTGTACCTCATCCAGCCTGTGACGGTGTACGTGTCAGTCTTCACTCTCACTGCCATCGGTGTGGACAGGTAAGTCATAAAGAGTCACCAGATGAGCTAAAAAGCGAGAAAGTGTGAGGTCACCCTGTAATAAACTCCGCTTAAATGTATAAATAATATAGTGCATAATTCCTCACAATGAATGTCACCATCTCTTGAAGAAAATTTCACCAAATTACAGAGGCTGACGCAAATGTAACTACCTGGACGTGGTGGATTTTATATACCAGCTCTGAAAATAACTCAAAGAGTTTCCAGGAATATAGTGAACATATACAAGCATAATACAGGAATATATTTCAATAATCTGGGACACATTTTTACTTAAATCTTCTTTGAATAATATACTACAATTCCTGAACTGTTTTGTGGAGTATTTCTTTGAGAAAGCATACTTGAGAAGTTTCAAGGATGACAGATCTTGAAGAGTTTTCTCTCTGCACGCCACAACTTAATGAAAGTTCAGTGATGTGTAGGTGTGTTGACCTGAGACGCCACAGAAATTCATTATTTACCATTTTGCTCTTTGAGAAGGTTATACAATGTCTTTTATGGCAGCTTACACTACACATCAGATCCCCTACAGCTCCAAACAGATATTGTGCACTAATCCCATCCTTTGGGTTTCTTCAAATGTAAATCTGTCTGTATGAAGGACAGAAAGGATTTATCAGACTATAATTAACACATTTTCCTCAGGTCTCCAGGGTTTTGTGCTTTTCATACCAAGCTGTGTGCACGGAGCCCAAATCCTGCTTTGTTTGTTGCCCTTGGATGCGAGGGCAGATCTGAATATGATGATTTTTTTTTTTTTTATACGGCATTGACAGAGTTCTGTACTTCATGAGGCTATATTATGTGTGGTGCTTAACAGCTTTAATGTCATTTGTGTGTTGCTTTTCTTCTTTGAAATACACTCGTCCAGCAAGCTTTCCCCCACAGTTCAGGTAAATCAAATCTAATCCAACTCCCCTCTGTCGTCTCCTCCCCTTCCTCACAGATACTATGCCACAGTTCACCCTCTGAAAAAGCGCATCTCAGTCTTAGCGTGCACTTACCTTCTGTCTGGGATCTGGCTGCTGTCCTGTGGTCTGGTGGCTCCAGCTGTGGCTCACACCTACCATGTGGAGTTTAAGAATGAGGGCTTCACCATCTGCGAGGAGTTCTGGATGGGCCAGGAGAGGGAGCGGCTGGCTTACGCGTACAGCACTCTCTTCATCACCTACGTCCTGCCTCTCTCAGCGCTCTGCATCTCTTATCTGTGCATCTCTGTCAAACTACGGAACTGTGTCGTACCTGGCCACCACACCCAGAGCCAGGCGGAGGCCCAGCGCATGCGCAAACGCAAGACATTCCGCCTAGTGAGCCTGGTAGTGGCAGCATTTGGCATCTGCTGGATGCCCATCAGTGTCTTCAACGTTCTGCGCGATATTGACATTGACCTGATTGATAAGAGGTACTTTCTGCTCATTCAGCTGCTCTGTCACCTGTGTGCAATGAGCTCATCCTGCTGTAACCCCTTCCTCTACGCCTGGCTGCACGACCGCTTCCGTGCTGAGCTTCGCAAAATGTTCACATGCCGCCGTCGCATTGGCATCTCAGCCAATAACTGTGCTACAGCCAGTGTGGTTTTGTGAAGTTCCTGTGTTTTAGGCTACTGTTGGTTAGTCTTTGCTTCTTTGGACGGTAGAGTAAACTCATCTCGTTCTGGTAACATACAGCTAAACTAACAGAATTAGACAGGTAGGATTCTCTAGTCTGTATAGTGCTCTAGCTGTAACTTGAGGCAGCCACATTGTAGTTTGCTTTGTTGTTTACCGAAATGCTAATTAAAAATAAAAGGCACTCCACTGATTTCACATTGTGGGTCTCACAATGGACAGTTCATCTTTTTTTGATCCATGGATTCTCCTTCCTGGTCAAAACCTGGTGCCTACATTACCCACAGTGCAGCTTGACTGCCGACAGTCCAGTCACAGTTTTGGGTTTGTCAGTGACAACAGCTAATGCAGCCTCGAGCTGCAAGCTTAAAGCAGAGATAGGGAGGAAACTGCATAGGTCTGATAAGCTCACTGCTTTCAAACTCCATACCCCCAGATTTTTATTACTTTTTCAAACTTGTAGTCCTCAAACACAACTAACACTGACTCAAGTGACATCACTAGAGGCAGATTTTGAGCAGCTCCCTCTGGAGCCACAAAAGGTTTTATACAACTTTCTTTTTACATGTGCAGTTATACTCTTCGAGACCTGTAAACAGACCTTGATGTGTAAAATTGATGAGTTCCACTTTAAGTCCAAACACAGTGGACTGACTGTCTGCTGTCTTTCTCATTAGGCCAGTTTATTAAAAAAGTATGATCTATTTGGCGGAACATGAAAAACAATCTTCTTTAGATCTTCTGCTAGATTAAAATACTGACTTCCAGGACTTCAATGACAAGGCTGACAAAATTCTGTATTTTCATTACTATCAGCACGAGAAGACCTGAACCAACAGTGCATTAATCTATCTCTCAATACTTTCTCACTTCCCTGGCCCATCACTGAGCCCATTCTAATTGAAGCAGCAGGCTTTTTAAAAATCACAAATATATACTTAAATAAAAAATAAACAGACAAGATAATTTTAGATAATTTCCTCAAACTGCTGGTCACTCTCACTGATGTGTTTTAATAGTCTTTGGACAAGAATGGAGGTCTATGGCACTGGGTAATGAGCTACAGTATGTCAGGCTTCAGATACACTGTACTGTACCTGTAGGATCAGTTCATTGTTGGTGTTAGTTTGATTGGGATTTGTTGACTATAAAAGAAACTATCACCAAACTTATCCTAGCCACAATTATACAGTATTGCATTTATGTTAAAATTTTTGGAGATCAGTCCTACCTAATTTATCTCTTTCTTGTATATTTGTAAAATTCTTTTTTCCTTGATAAATTTTATAATACACAAAATGATTAATAGACATAACACAAACTTTCTGGAAATGGAAGAAGACATAATGAAAAGAACATAAAGCAACAACTGAAATTGCTGATGCATTATGGAGCTTGTTTGAAGGCTTATACTGTATAATGATAACAGTGATATAAATCAATATTTCACTTATACTTATTTCTTTCAAAATGACCATGAAATTATTGTAAGCAATCACAGATACAAACAATCTGGTGAAATAATTAGTGTCTTTATTTCAAATAAAACCACATTTTTGCTCAGCATCACTCCTTTCAGCAGTTTTACATTGACTGTAGTATTATCTTAATGTCAGACACTTGATACATCAGGCTGACCATTCTGCAGAAAAAGAAGAGAGGTAGCCGACATTTCTCCATCCAGCAAACAGAAGTCATGAAAAAGGTTTTGAAGGCACAGGTCTGTACATTCTAAAGATTAATATTGCTATAATTTCTGCCAAGACATCAAACAGTATTATCATGTAAAGGCATAGATGCAGGTTTCATTCATTAGTGTAGTTTAAATACAAAGACAAGGCTGGGTATTACTGATACTGAGTCATTTACTCTTCCTCTGATGATTTGTTTTTGATCATCTCTCGGTTTTTATTTTATAAATACAACACAAACATCACAGTGATCAAAATCTTACATTATTATTAGAATAGTTTGATTCTATCTGTACTATTGCTTGCATAATATTTTATTTTCATCTATGTGCACAGGCTACATTACAACCACATAAAGGAAAAAAACTGCTGTAACTGCCGTGTAATTCAAAAAATGTACAGTATATAGTAGCTGCTTGCTATTATTAATTGCTGGTATTCTAAATGACACCTCCTTGAAGCAAAAGTAGGCACAATATCTTCTTAAGGACTGGACAACCAGCTGACATTCAACTGTGGTGGGTAAAACAGGTGAGGAATGTAGTTAACTGCCTGGTAAAAAAAATAATAAAAGGATCGACAAAAAAAAAAAAGAAAAAAAGAAAAAAAAATAAGACTTCAGTGGTAGAGGCAAAAGTCAATGTGCACTTGTTATATAAATGTTCTTAATCTTGATTTAGCTGATAAGGTCAGAATTCATAGTTGCTATCTGCAGTAATGCACTCCAAGGTTATGTATGTATAAGGTTATGTATGTGATCATGCATCACACAGTAGTAAGTTACACAAAGCCCAGTGTAAAGAGTAAAAAAAAGGCCAGAAAATAGTTTAAGAAAACTATACGTTTCTATGCATTGTATGTGTATTAAATAAAGTTCAACACAAGTGTCATCAAGTGTGGTATATAAACCAAGATGTTGAATATACTTTCATTTAACAAGTTTTTTTTAAAGCAAATTCCAGTACCTTAGTGTCAAAAGAAATACATTAATTTGCTTACATAAAGATTTTTACTTGCTTGTTATTAAGTCATCACAAAGTATTATTAGTTCAGAGGCCATTTTCCAGCATTCTCAAACAAATTTGGCTCTGAAACTAAAAAAGTGCATATGCCCTAAGACCTTCATTGAGATCGTGTCTCTCAGTACACAGTGACTAAAGTACAAACTCACACAAAAAACAGAACTGAGTCCTTAAGCGTGACTCTCTCCTTCCAGTAGCCGTAACCTTACACTGGCTTGGCATGGTTAATGGCTTGCAGGATACTGGGTTTCTCCTCTATTACGCGGAGCACCAGGTTGTCGATGTACTCTTCAAGCTCAACGATCTTGGCGTCCTTCCTGGACAGGTCTGTTTGCTGCTTCACCACCAGTGTGATCAACTCTTCCTGGGTCAGCTGAGTGTAAGGTCCACTTTCACCTGAGTTTGCCACCTGAGGCACATGACAAATGTCAGTACAGCACATGCCTTCTGAACTTATTGCTTAATTTAGTTAAGTACATATGAAACTGTTAAGAGCTCTTTGGTTTATCCACAGAGAGCAAAAACTCAAAAAAGCTTTCTCATAGATAAAGAAAAAAAAAATCTAGGTCTAAATTACTTACTTTTTTCCACAGCTTTCAGCCAAATCTTGTTATAAAGCAGATGGAATTTTTCTCACTTATTGACAAGTGAGAAAAACTCCATCTGCTGAGTCGAAAAACATGGCAAGTCGATTTTTTGTTAAGAATTGTTTTTGTCAAAGTGCTATTTCTGAGGTTAAAAATAAAACTCAATATTTAACAATATTTTCAGAGTCAACTGTGACATGTTTTCAAAGGTGGAAGATCAATCACATTGCAGTTGCTGCTAATTGCATCTGATATTTTTTTCAGTCAAGTTAATATTCAAATTCCATGAAACTTTCTGAGGATTAACTAAAAAAACACTATGTGCAAACATTTATAATGTAGATTATGTTATAGGGTGAAATGAGGTGTTATGTAATGCATCCAAGAGTTCCTCCTGCAGGAAAATGTATTTAACTTGCTGTAAAGGGACATGTCAAATCTGTTGGGGATTTGGACCCAGTGTGTCATATATGTCATGACAGTACCTTAATCTTCCCTGGTGTGCTGTCCCAGACCTTAATCTCTTTCACAGCTTGGGTGCTGGTGGCATGCTGGCTCTCAACTGGGGTCAGAGGCTTCACAGGATGAGGCCTGTAAAGAAATTACACACATTATTATAAAGCCCTCAAAAGATCACTACAAGTAAGTAGCAACAATATGTACAGAAACGTCAGAGAAAATAATAATAAAAAAATAACATTAAGCAGGAGTTAAAGATTAAACAATTGAATGTAGTGTATTTCTAATCTTCCAAATCCTTCCACTGTGATTCATGTGGAGTTGATAGTATTAAACTCATAATGAGGAAATAAGCCAAGAAATCACAAGCTTTCAAAATAGTCACACCCAAGGTAAATCAATCCAACACCTTAGCTGGTACAACAGCAGCAGCCTTATGCAAATCTAGATAAACAGTCTTTGTGAGTAGCCTCTTCAAGCTCACCTGCGTGCAGTCAAGGCTAGCCCACCTCCATTGCTATTCTGAGCACTGACAGGCTGAACCTCAGACGGTGAGATCCATGCTTGTAAAAGTTCCTTTCCCCCAGACAAACCTCCTGCTGGCTCCTCCATAACCACCCGCGGGGGCTCTGACGACGTCAAAGCAGAGGGCACAGGAAAAGGTTCAGCTCCGAATGGATTCTCTCCTCCATTAAAATTGCTTTGTGTCTTCACATCAGCTTGGGGCTGAGGTGTAACAGACTCATTCATGACATCTCTTGTGGGGAGGCCTTGATTTGTTGGTGTTTCTTCTTTAGATGCTGGTTCTTGACGAGACTTTAAATTTTTATCATCCGACTGAGTTTTTGACTGAAGAACGTGTTTTTGCCTCTGTGAATTCCTTCTTTGGAAAATATGAAAACCGGCTTCCTTCGAATCATCACCTTTTTTCCTGTAGTCACTGTGTTTGTTTGAATCACTGCCATTAAAACTAGCAAAATGATCTGTTGGCTTCTCTTGACCAAAGATTTTATCAAGATCATCTGTCGTCATTCCCTGATTGTCAGATTTCTGCTCTTTCTGTATGTTGCCAGTAAAAGGGTTGTTGACGTCTTGGTTCTGTTTCAGATGTGCCCATCGGTCTTTGGAAAGACGCTCAGTACCGGAGAACGGGTCAAACTCTGCTAAGTTCTCCTTTGCCTGCCCACCCTTTTTGTCCATGCTGCTCACATGAAATAATGCTGAATCCTCCTGCTGTGTTGGCTCTTTGCCGTTAACCCTCTGTCTGGGTTTGGCTGTAGGTGCATCTTTGTTCATGGAGACTTGCCCTTTCTGCTGATCTTCTAGTGCTGTTGTATCCATTTGGCTAGTTGGTCTGGATGCACGTGTTATCGCAGGTGGGAGCAACGCCTTCTTTGCTCCATCCCTGGAGATCCCTGAGAGACTTTCTCTGCTTGAGATGTCAGTGTTTACAGGTCCTGGGACTGCAAATTGATGAAGTCTCATGACAGATTGGTGAGCAATGTTCTGGCTTTGACTTGAATCTGCTGCTGAATGAGTATATGATGTGACTGGTTTAGGAGGAGCTGGGGCAGCTACTTTTTTTGATGATATAGGTTTGGTCTCCTGAGGATGTGTTTGATAATGCCTCATAGCAGGACTTTCTTGTGATATGGAAGACCTTGGACTTGGGTCATACTCCTCTGGGCCATCCACACTCATCTCTGGACCCAGAAGTTCAGGAGTGTCTCTGTGTCTCTGATTGACCTCAGCGATTATATGATCCCATCGAGTTTGCCCTTGCACTCCGTGCCTCTTCTGTGGAAAGAGGGTTTCATAATCAGGAAGTGGTATAGAAAATGTTTTGCCTTGTTGCGATTCATCTGCTTCTACGTATGCAGGGTCATTGATCTCTCCGACTGGTGAAAGGCGGTTTCTTCCAGTTTCGGTCCCAGGTACGGAATACGTGGGTGGCAGCGGGGCTCTTCTCTTCTTGTCTGCCATGGTGGGTGAAGATCCTGCAGATTCCACAGACGACAAATTCTCTGTGCTGCCACAGGGGGAACCAGACAGGCTTTGACTTATGTTTAGCGAAGCCAAGGATGAGTGGAGGTTGGAGAAATTATCAGGGGACTCAGATGGGACACTATAGAGGGTGGACTCAGAGGTGGTTGGGGAAGGACACAGCTGACTGGGGGTTTGGCAGTCAGCGGGTTCAGACTCCAGAGATTGAGCCAATCTGCCAAGGAGTGAAAACAAAGGCCTACAGGTCAGTGTGACCATCACATTACCTGAAGTCACCTCCACCAATGTACAACCCATCACCAATGTCACAAGTATCTCACATGTCAAGAAGTCACTCAACAAAAACTATTCAATTCCCACTTAAAGCCTCACATAAAGTAGCTCTTAGACAATTCAATATTTACTTAAACCTTTATAACTATGATGAAGCTTATAAAACTGAGAACAAATCTGTGACAACAAACTTCAAAGGCTGCCATTAAATATGACAAATTCATGTGTTCATACAATGGTCAATTGTTGTCAGTCGCCAACCTACAGACAGAACCTCTGATATTCACATGTCTTGTGATTATTGTTTCTATTTTTAGCCATGACTGAAATTCCAATATGTAAAGATGATAATGGAACATTTCTGCTTTAAGATTTATTCCACATGGCATCAAAATGTATACATCACTACTACATGATATAAACATCTTTAAATGCTTTGGCTACTATCTGCCATATAGGACACTTCCTTGAAAACATGGACCACTGTAACATCTGTGACAATAGCAAGTTCAAGCCCCTTACCATTATGATTCAAAAATAAAAAATCCAGTCCAATCCAGTCCACAAGAAACTTTTAAAAAAGAAACAAACTCCATTCACTCAAGACATATGCAAAGTTACTCTGAGGCTCAGTGACTCCTTATGAGCTCAGTCCACAACCTGCTCCACAACATCTTCACCAACACAAGCCACACCCAGACTCTCATCTGTATAGAGACCAAACTGGTCAAACCGGTCCATCAACCACTGGATAGAAGTCAAAGTTTTGGTAATTCAAGACAGGCGAAAGGCTCTCAAAGATCAACATGAACAGAAACAGAACGGCGAGTTGTGAAATTCAGTGGTCGCAAGTTTCAGTGGTAACAGACATGTTGTAGGATGAAACTTAACAATCAGAAAAAAAATCAGTGTTTAGGTTTTCTTAAATTACATTTCTAATTCATACGTGCCTCCTACTTGTGTCTGGATAACAGGCGCAAATACAGGATCTGTTGCTGTTGTAAAGGATCAGCTTTATACATTATATAAAAAATATAATATAATGCACATACCACCAAAGGTGAAGGTATGTGTGGGTACTCTTGCGAGCCCATTGATCAAATTCCAGTCACAAAAGTCTAAAAATAGTGTGACTACAAGCAACCAATAACATCCCCAGCATCACAGCGGTGATATAACAACAACATTATTACATAACAGCAACTTTTTAAGAGCATGTAATCCAACAAAATGAGAGGGGGTTTACCTGGGTTTGACTGCAGACACTTTAGCAGTGCGGTTGAGGAAGACCATGGCAGATGGGGGTTGTGGGTTGTGGCTGGATTTCTGATGATCAGCTGGGCTTTCATTACTGCTAACTCTAAGATCTGAGCTGAGGGGAATGTCCTCAAACGGGTTGGTGGGGTGGTGAGAGATCGGTTGATCAGAATCTCTTGAGTCACTGCGAGGAGCTGGTGTAGGTAACTCCTCTTTCGAATGCTGCTGTACCTCTTCTTTTTTCTCCTCCTTCTTTCTGATCATTCCAAACAGGGATGACAGCCTGTCGCTCATGGAGGCCTCTTCCTGTCGTTTCTGCTCCTCTGCTTTGCTACGTTCCTCCTCAAGCCTCTGATTTTCTATCCTGCGTTCTTCCTCTTGCTTTCTTCTCTCTTCCTCCTCCTCCTTCTGTTTCTTCCTCCTTGCTTCATCCTCAATTAAGCGTCTCTTCCTCCCCTGTTCCTCTTGGTATCTGCGCTCCTCTTCTTCCTGCAATCTCTTGGCCTCTGCCCTGTATCTCTCCTCTTCCTCCAGCCTCTTTTCCTCTGCCATGCGTCTTTCTTCTGCCTGCCTTCTCTCCTCCTCCTCTTGATGGCGCTGTTGCTCCAGTATAGCTCTATCTGTTGACTCACGTCTGTAGACGGGGACAGGTGCACTTCTAAGGGAATCTGCAGAGGCATCAGAGGTGTGTTTGCGGACATCCTCCACAGACCCTTGTCCTGAACTGTTCAGACTGAGTGTAGATCCACTCTTGGGCTCTGCCTCCTCTGCGTACACATGGCTGCCGTTGATGCACAGGTTGTTCAGGTCACTGTTGCTTTGCTTGGAGCGACCCAGAAGAGAGAAAGGACCCTGAGACACCTTGCTGTCAGAGCTGCCTGTTCGCTTGTGTCCGAGGAATTTGAATTTCTTCTTAACTGTGGGAGGAGAGACAGAGAAGAATGATGTCATTGTAGACATACAAAACCCCATTATTTAACATCCACTGAGAAGGAAAAGGAAAGACAGAGCTGTCCACATACAGAACACACAGAGTACTGAAGTTACCTTCAGGAGAGTCTATATTGAGTCCAGATGAGCGGCTGCCACTGAGAGATGAGTTCTTCTCGGGAAGAGTCCCCAGTGTAGACATGGACTGAGAGATGTTGCGCTGCAAGTTTGACTTGGGAGCAAAGAGGGATTTGAGCTTTGATTTCTTTTTCACTCCTGGAGACTGATTGAGTGACTGTGCATCAGCCTCTCCCTCACTGTCGGTGAGGACCTGGCTGACAGAGGGAACAATAGCTGAAACAGAGTCAGAGAAGCCATCCTTTTTCTTCCCACGGACTTTGTCCTTTAGCTTAGAGATGCGGGAGCGTGGCTTGTCTTGCATAGAAAGGTCAAACATGCTAGCTGACATGTTGTTTCTCATAAATTGTATGTCTAGCATCACCTCCCCTCGAACCTTGTCCTCTTTTCCGGTCTTGTCCACCAGCTTGAACCAACTGCAAATGACAGAAAAAATGAATCAGATGTTTAAAAAGCAAATTTTTGCAAAATCATAGAAATTTTCCTCAAAATTAATGAAAGGCTTTTTAAAATTAAAACTAGATATTGATATATGTATATATCAATCTATATATCTATATATAGAGATATATAATAAACACTATAAACACTTATGAAAAAGATACGTAATGAAAGCAGGTTATTTTACAGTTTCACAATAAACTTTATTGTCCAAAATGACATCAGTGCACTGAAACAGTAAATTTCACTGGGAATTAAATAAAATAACTATAAAAAGAAACATAAATAAATAAATAAAAAACATAAGAGCAAATATGTGTGTGTGTGTGTGTATATATATATATATAATTTATATAATATTATTATATAGTATAAGTATATATATATTATATATTAAACTTGAATGAAAACAAAGGATCAAATATACATAAAATGCTGCCTATATAACTTGACTTGACCCGTGCATTTCCACTGCATTATTGCTTCTTAATTAAAGTATTCATATCAGTGCATATCGCAGAATATATGCACCGATACCGATATATCTGTGATAGGCCGATGAATCGGTTGCGCTCTAATTAAAACTTTGACCTTTGGCACAGTTCACTAAATGCAACAAACCTCCAGCAATTAGTCTCAAAGTCACACACAAAGACTATTAGACAGAAAAAATGCAGTGAGATGAGATGAGGTTTCCACTTGTCCTCAGAGCATGTTACTCTTTTCCAGGAACTGGATCAAGATATGTACATATGGGACTCTAAAGTTGTTTGTGCAGGAAACAGGTGAAATAATTTAATTGCAGTTGAGATTGAAACAGTGGTAAATGACTGTTTCTGATACAGCTTTATGTTATGTAAAATAAAAAAGACTTAAAGGAACGGAAAATGAATCAACACTTAATAATGAAAATAATAGTTACAGGCTTATTTGGTCCATTTTACTAAAACCCTGCACTAGAGCTGAAATAATTAATTTATTGGTCAACAGAAAATTCAGCATTATCAGTTTTGATACTTGCTCTATCATTTAAGTGAGTTATTAAGCAAACTTGCAAAACTTTCTTTAGTTTTGGCTTCTCTATGCAATGATTTTGTTTGCATTTGACTGTTCTTTATCATTGGAAATTAAATATCTTTGAGTTTTGCACTGTTGGCCAGACAAAACAAGCAATCCAAAGATGTCACTGTGGGCTTTGGCAACTTGATTTTTTACTGTTTTCTGTTATTTAATAAATAATTTATCTGCAGATTAATCTAAATCAAAAATAATAATTTGTTGCAGCCCCGCACTGCTATTGAATCCGAGTTCATATTAATCTTATACTCAACTGCTGTGCATTGTTAGTGTCACTGCAAACCAAGACACTCATGCCAAAACATGTTTTAGTTGTGGGGTTACTCTTCTATACAGGCATTTAGGGTTGGCCCCCACAACTGTAAACAAGGCAACATATAGGCTCATTTCAGAGGGGTTGAATGCAGGTTGAATGTAATTAACAGCATACTGTAAATAAATCCCCTACATAAATCCTCTGGTTTCTAATGGCTCTGACTTCAAACACTTCAAATCTGTTGGCATCCTCCTGATGTGTCTAATTAGACCTGAGACTGATAGGTGTCATTATCCAGTGTACGGCTTGTTCCAGTTCCTGTTGGGAGTACCATGCCAACCACAGATAAAGCCTGACAATTACAGCTTTGTTCAGACACCACCCACCCCCACTCCCACCCAAATGTCCGCTCTGTTGTACAGGATCAGCACTTATTGTCTGCAAGGGAAAGGTAGGAGTGTTCTGGAGAGCCCTGTCTAAAACCCTGCCAAAACAAGCTATTACTGCAATTACATACCGATGCTTTCTGCTTGTATAATTAAAGCCTTGCTATTATTAGATGTAGTAATGCTGTACCAGAAGTGCCCATTATAGTGAGCCTTTCCCCTTTTGAACTCTTTTGTTCCACATCAGAGCCCTCCGACTGTTTCACTTAAACTAAAGGTCACTATGTGAATTCCTCTTTGATCGTTTTGTAGAAAAATACTGTATGTGGGTCCTAATTAGGTCCAGTCTAACCTGGTAAGAGATAAACTGGGGTATACTGAAGATATCTATCATCGAATTTAAATAGAAAACATGTTGTGACATTAACCAGGCAGTTAACTGCAGTTCATATGGAGTTTATTGTTGCAGAATTCATTTTCATGTCATGTAGCAGACATCCAGGCAGGCTGGGGATAACATCCAGGAAACAAGCATGGGAGTGAACCAACATTTTTCAAACACTTTGAAAACGTTCAGGGAGGTGCTGTACAGTACGTGAAGTAATGAAAGTTACACTACAAACATTCTCCATCTCCCGCCCTAAACTGAGCATGCCAAGTCAAACAATTGCTAACCACATTGACAGAAAGATCACACTTGTCTCGAGTCAATCAAGACACAGACAATTGTTCTTGTCTTGTCTACGTCAATTGTAGAAAAGTATGCACTTTAAAATATAGTTATGGTTATTAACAGATTGACAATGTGAGCATGTTCTGTCCTGTTTGCATAGAAATACAGAGCTGTGCCCCTGATGCACGCTCTCACCGGTCCTGCTGGACAGGTTCCCTCTGTTGACTGTCAAGGGCACTTCTCTAACATGTATAATGATTAACAAGAGAGACTGTGTTTATCCTAGTGTGGGCACCAAAATGGACTCAACCAATAAGATAACAAGGTGTAAATAGTAAAATATTAATAGGTTACTTTTTCAAGAATTATCAGAAAATATTATTTAATTTAAAAATGTTCTTAAATAAAAGTTGATATTCAGTTTGAATTCACTGGAGGTGACTCTCATGCTGGATGAATATAAACCGTACATCAGGAAGGGAGATATTTTTAGTGTCACTGCTCTGCTCTTTGTTTACAAAATAAATATTATGGCTCAGGTTTCTGAACAAATGAAGAACTGGCTCTGACCCAAATGGAACTGGTCCAGTATCATTACTCCAAAATATCTAGAAGCTAAAATGATTAGCTAACAGACAGAAAATTAATCTGCAATTATTCTGATGATGGAATAATTGTTTAAATAATTTATCAAGCAAAAACTCCACACTTTCACTGTTCACGCTTCTTAATTGTGCAAATTTGCTGCTTTTCTTTGTCATTTGCGCCAGAAAACCTCTTTCCTTGGGAATTGGACAATAGACTGGACAAAAAAGGCAATCTGAAGGAGTCAACTTGGGATTCAAGAAATTGTCACTGTGAATATTTTTCACTATTTTCTAACATTTTATAGACCAAACAATTAATACATTAATCAAGAAAATCATTCGCAATTCAATAATGAAAAGAATCATTATTGTAAATTTAACCATATCAATTTATCATAGAATCTTTAAAAACATTCGGTCAAGACCACAAATAATTTCTTCATGTAAAAAATGCATTCAAATAGAGCTGCAATCATTAGGTAAATAATCAATTTGTAAATTGCTAGAAAATTTATGTTTTGATAATTGATTAGTTTTTAAGCAACAATGCCAAATGTTCCCTGGTTCCAGCTTTGAATTGAATATGTTTGAGTTTTGGACTGTTGGATGGACAGAACAAGCCATATGAAGACACCACTTTGAACAATTTTGCACAATTTTCTGACATTTTATAGACTAAATGATCAGTCAATTAGTCGAGAAAATAATCAGATTAATCACTAATGAAAATTATCATTAGCTGCAGCCCTACAGTCAAATCACAACTTTTAAATCACTCCATACCAAATAACTCCCTACATGTAATATAAAACTAATCCTTTGAATTAACATTTCTCCTAGTATTTCTCTTTTTTGTCTGATGATTTGGGATCATTAATGACTTCCACTCTCTGACAAACTCAAATACTTGGCAAAATAAACTGATTTCATCTCCAACACATGTCTTTTGTATTAGAGGCAACTGTAGAGTTCCCATCCAGCAGAGCAACAAAGTCCTCAGTGTCACACCCTGTATCAACATGACAAGGAAGCAGGATGGAAATCTAACACCATGCTTTCAGGCGATGACATGCAACATGCAATACCCTGCCTGCATATTGCATGTTAACAGAGACAGAAGGAGCAGGCCAAGCAAGGAGAATTAGGGTGTTCAGACTTTGAAAGGAAAGAACAAGTAATGAACTTTAACCATGTAAGTGTAAAGACTTACTGAGCAAACACAAGATAACATTTCAGATATGACGGTACAATAACGAAATGAATGAGGTCATTCCAGCATCATATCAAGATTGCCCTTGCTTGAGTTATTACTGAGAACTCACAGCTCACTCAGTCTTTACCAAAGGTCATCTCAGAATTAAAGACCACATTGGCACGGGTTCGGCAGTGTGGGAAAAAGTGGACAGTCTATGTTAAAATTTCTTTTGCATAGGAGGGTGTGTGTATCCCAATTCAACACTAATGCAATGTTTTGAGTCCTGTTACACCCACGTTACACCCATGTTATGTCAAACCACAGATGTCATCCTGACTCATTTAACCCGTTTGGGTGTGAACACAAGTATTATAAACTAGTAAATAATCCTAAGGAATGTGCAGCATTAACAGCAGCAACATGAGAAAATGAATTCCAGATAGGCCTTTATCACCAAGCTGCCAGTGACAGAGTTGGCTTCACACCAGTTTATGAAGTAAAAGTCTCAACCAAACGCCTAGGAGTGGTCAAAGGGAAAGAGGGAAAACAGAAGGAACTACTGAGATTAGAATAATCTTTGCCTGTTTTCCCACCAACTCCATGGTTTCTGTTTTTCCTCCAAGACACTGATAAGAGGAGGGAGGGGAGGAAGACTCCATCACCATGTACACATTTTAATTAAGTTGTGGTCTATTTAAAAGTGCAGGCTATTTGATGTGTGTACACAAAAATGCCATGCAAGAGTGAAGTATTCAATTGTGTATTCATTAAAACATATGCTGTGTCTGGTAATCACTACATACATATCAACAAAATTCAACCACTGCACAATTATGGGAGTAAAATGTTTCATATTTGGGGCAAAATCTAAATCAACACAGGATTACTGTGTCAGTAAAAGACACAATCAGGTAGGTAGGTGTTCATAAGCCACAAAAGTTTAGGTAATGCTCTCTTAGAAAAAGTTAAATTGAGCCCAAGGCTGCAATAAATGGACAAGTGAGAAAAACCCAAGTCCCTTGCCACGTCAAAACATGACACAAAAGTGTAGGCAAACCAACTAATGAAATGAAAATACAGTCAGTCATCAGTCATAGTAAAATTGGGGCAAGTTTGACACTAATTGTTTGGAGGGACTTCCTCCTTTAAAGTCTGTTTAGCTTCAACCACTCAGGGGAATATGGAAACAAGTTTTTACAGAAAAGGCAGTTCTGTCTATCTTGGCTCAAAATAATTTAGGGAAATAAATCTAATCTTGTTTGACTAGCTATTCATTGAAAGATTACAGTTTACCCAAAACTGTTAAGTTTTGTGATGTAATCCACATTACACTAAGCCTTTGAACTAAGACTGAAGTTATGTGGATGGACTATAGTGTCATTGTGCAAGGGTGCTGAGACTTGGGGTGATGCTGTGTTGTAATTTAGTTGGAATAAAGGTTTAAAGGGAACTAAAAGAGGAAACAGTCACTCTGCCTCAACTAATGGAAACCTTTGTAAGCCTTAACTACAGCAAATAACCCCAAACCAAAGTGACACAGTGGAACAAGCAGTTGTCACTTACTCTGTCTTTTTGCGAGACTTGTTGTCATGAAGATCCAGTAAGTTTACCACAGCTTGACCCAAAAACTTGTCGAGCCCCACTTGGGCACGGTGCATTACTATGACATACAGTGTACAGCGCTCAGTGTTTCCCGGGTGGAAAAGTGGCAGGTCAAACGAAGCCTCTTCTTTCCACACTGGAGCGACACATTTCTCTGCCACAGAGGTAGAAAACTTGTCTTTGGCCACCTGGATGATGGCATAGGCATCGTTGGTGCCATTTTTGCCCTTGACACGCAGGTTCCGAGCCTGATGCACCGTTACCTGTACACTCGTAGGGAACCACTGCTGGCTCTGGTCGGCCAGAGACATGGCGAAACTCGGTTAAGATGTACCAAAACTTAATGCGGTTCGTCTTATAAGAATAGCTTACAACGTCTCACTGTCGGTTAACCTTTTCCTGAGCTTTGTTTTTCACCTTCGGCGTCCTCTGCGGCTGTAGGTTTAGGTTACCTAGCTTGACTTCAGTTCAGGAAGCTCAGGTTGATGTCGTAATACTTCTCCCTCTTCGTAACGCTATATCTAAGCTTCTAATAACACCCTAGTTGAGTTAACAACAACTTACAACAACAACGCTAGCACTAGCTTGTGTAATCCAACCAGTACAGTACTGCTGTGTGACTAATTCCCATAAGAGGCTTCCATAAAAACAGTTCTCTTGCTTTGCCTCCGCTAAGTTGAACATTTCACTTCCCTGATGTTACGAGTTTCCACCCATACCCTACATAGCGCCACCTGATTGGCTAATATTTCTGTCCGTTTTTTAAAGTGCATCAGTGATTGGACAGTGGAGGAGGAGGGCGTTGAGACATCGCGGACCGTTAACAAGCAATACAAGCCACTGATCAGGAATCAGATTAGCCTCACTAAAGTCATAGAAGACTTAAATAGGGTAACAACATTAACACTGAACTGAGTCCAGTGATGCTAATTTAACTCTAAAGGATAGAAGATGTCCAGACAAATTATTTTTCTCACTTTATTTCGGCTTTACAACCTGCAAGTTGAGATTTTTTGAAAATATATCACTGAATTAAAGAGGGAATTCAAAAATATCTTGAAGAGTGTAACTGCAGGAAATTTTTTATTGTAATTGGCTAATGAGGTAGAGATATGCAAATCTAAAAAGCTCCTTTTCTTAATAAGAGACATGTTTTGACTCACCAAAACCGATGATAGTGTTGTTTGTTTGTGGAAGCTCAGGGAACAGTATGTTCACAAAACTAAATGTTGTTAAACTAAGTCATCCAAAGCAAAACAGGGTGAAATTTAATTCTTTTATCTCTCAGTTAGTATCTTGTACTTGATCTGTTCATCAGGCCTTCATCAAGATATTTAAGAGAAAACTGATTTCAGGCAATGTCCCTTTAATGGTTGATCTTTACTGGAGTGTAAAACGGAGAACAAAATGTTTCCTATCACCACATTCTCATGGGTTTGGTAGGCTTGTGTAATATCCAAAGAGTACATGCCACAGACTAAATGTTTCATTTAGGGAAGCTGGAACATTTTGAAGAATTTAACATTCAGTTATAAATAATTGGAAATGCATATGATTGAAAAAAACAACTGGTAGGTGCTCCATTCTTCAGCAAAATAGCAGGCATTTTGTGACACATTAGGAAAAAAACAATTAAATATTAATTATTATGATTTTTCAAAAAGTGTCTTATAATGTTTAAAAATGAATGTTTTTTTCTTGTATACATTGTACAACTTGGAAATTATGATACAGAAGCAAAGTCAAGATTAGACTTATTAGACCTAACTCTGCCATGGCCATAAAAGGCAGTGTGCAGAGATGACAGTATCCATACCAGATGCATTACGCACTTGAGCATGATGACATTACTGAATCACAAGATTCAAGACAGGACTATCATAATATTTATATTTGTTGTACATGAGAAGTTCAATATGAGTCACAGTCATATGGAATAAATGATAACTGTCATGTTTTACATCCTGAATGAATCCTGCTTGGAGCTGATCAAAAAGATCATACTGCATACAATATGCACAACAGACTGAGCATATTAAAACACCAAACCGTAATAACATACAGTATGCCATTCTCTGGATCTCATGAACACTTCCCCTCAAAAAGCAATGACAATGACAGGCATAGTAGAAACATTATTTCCTGTTAATGCAATTTCCTGAATTGCAAGTATATCAAACTGACTTTAAAATGTCTCCTCAAATGTGAATTCAGTGCAGCAGTGATGGTTTTTTGGCCTGGCCCCTGATAGGCCTATGTAACATGAATTTTGTGATACGGTTTACTGTAAAGTCAACATGGGGTGGATAAGTCTTTCATTGCAAAACCTGTGAGATTTGACTGACTCATAAGTGGAACACATTTCAAATCCCTGACAATGACAATCTGAGTTTCATTTCCCTCCAGGAGGGGGCAGTCATTCAAACATTAGACCAGAAAAAGTCTTCTGTTGGAAGTGGAAATCAGAAGTGACTGAGTATGAGAAAAACAATTATTTTTTCCCCTGATTTTTATTCTTTCTGAATTTATTAGATAGGGGGAGATCTGTCAGTGCTGATGGGAGTACAGAGAAATAAAAAAGAAACATTTTCATCATATATTCAAAAGTCTCGCATAGCTTTTTTTTTTAATTCACTCAGAGATTCTGTACAGCCACACTCATAATTATTCACCTACTGTATCTACACAAACACACACACATAGACACACACTGACACACACTCACACACACACAGACTCATAAACACTTGCACGCACACTCACACACACAAACAGAGCATACAAGTGCATACATGAGCACACGCAAACAATTACTTGAAGCAAACATAAGGGTGAAAGGTTGTCCACTGATTAAATGCATGTAGCTGTACTTTGGAAATGGATCATCTTGCATTCCATTTCATGCTATAGTTGATATGCATAGAAAAATCAAAACTAAAACAGTAAAGCTTTCATTAGACATCCAAAATCAACATCATATGCCAATTTCAGGGATATCTTGTACAATTTTTTGTGAAATGGATAAAATAAATGAGTATTTTATGTTTGAAAATGACAATAAAAAACCCAGCCTTATTATTTTTTCACCATTTCACAGCAAATTCTTACAATGCTACAGAGGCAAGAGTACCAGTTTAAGGTCCTGGATGCCTTCGTGATTTTATATCTTAAATTATATAATTATTATAATCAAGAGACCATTAAAACATAACCCAATCATTTTAGAGTCCATTAAGGTCATGCATAGAAGTTCACATATAAGTATGGGTTACACTGTGGTTTCACTTTTCCACAAACCACTCTTCATTCCAGCGGAGCTCTGGGATTGGTCTGTGCCGCTCATATCTTGCTCCAGCTCTAGCACTGAGTTTTTCAAGGTGCCGTTTGGGGCAGCGGCCCCTGGCACAGTGGTAGTGACACTGTTCAAAGGGTAGGAGGAGCGCTTTGTTTCTCGCTCTGCAGCAGCAGCCAGTTTCAAATTGTCTCTGCTGGCACATCGTCTCTGAGCACCGTGCATGGCAGCTCTGCTGGCCATAGAAGGCAGCAGGGGGAAGGGTTTGCGGCTCCCACTGCTGCCTCCATCACTTCCCTCTGAGGGGCTGGTGGCCACCGACTCCCCCACCCGCTTCCCATTTGTCAGTGGGCTGGCCTGGTTCTCTGAGAGGCTGTGGTGGATGCTGCCGTTCTCACTCGTGGCCTGTTTGTAAACCCCATGTGAAGAACTGAGGTTCTCTAAACCTGGTGGCCCTAAAGCTCCAAGGCTGCCCCCACCTCCAGCTGTCCTTAGAGCTTTGAGGCGATAGTGACCTCTGCCCTCACCCCGATGGTGATACTGGCTGCTCCCCTGTTTAGTTCTGCTACTCACTTTCCTTCTCTGGGGATGCACTGGGGCGGCAGAGTTAATGGTGGGCAGAATATTGTTTGTAGGTTTGGTGATGTTGTCAGTGCTGGTGCTAGTGTTGTTGCCTGCAGGGGGCCGTGAAGTGTTGTTTGGATTGTCTTGTGCCACCTGCAACAGGTTGGTGAGCTTGCAGGGCCCGGGGCCCACGCTGCTGATTCCACTTGGTGTGGATGATGACCTGGCTGATGAGGAGTTATGAGAGTCACCGGGTGGATGGCAGTTGATGAAAAGTTGGGATCCCTGCTCAGAGGTCTGCACTCCACTCCCGGTAGTGCAGGTGTGTGTGTAAGTAGACATGGGTTGGGAACGGCGGTAGCCTGGGCAACATGCCAGCCAAGAGGCCTGCACATCCAGACGTCTGAAGCAGTGGTGTACCACCAGAAACACCCCTAAAACTGTGGCAGACATCCCATAGAGACAACTGAACAATAAGCTAGTGTGCCCTGTCAGCCACATTGCCATGGCTCCACAACACCACAGAACCACAAACAGGAAGTGGGTGGCCACCAGCACCAAGTACTGTGTCTTCAGCGAGTACTGGTCCTCTGGAGCCACAACAGGGTTTATAGGTCCCACTGCTGAGTCTGTGGAGAGCAGGCTGGTGCTTCCTGCCAGCGCAGGCTGGCTCTCAGGCACAGTAGAGGACAGGGTGGTTCCTGTGCATTCTTTGGCCACACGGTGCCTCAGGCGAAACACAGTGCACAGGAAATAGATCCAGGTCACCATGACAGCTAGGCCAGCAGGGACAAAGAAAGACCCTAGACTGGGGCGCCACACCAGCCAGCAGCTGCAAGAGGCACATAAGACGTCAGGAGGGTCAGTGCAAAACAAGGACATCTCTGTGTATTAAACATGTCAAAGAGAATTATTCACTTCAGCCCCAAACAAAATAACACAAAGTCAATGGATAAATGGCTCAAGGATAAAGAGAGAAGTACTTACTAAGGACTGTTGTCTCCGTAGTTGTTGACATTGACAGCTGCGGTGATCCCACAAATGATAAGAGGGACTCCACCAGCTATCAAATAGAACCTTGGATGACAGAGAAAAACGTATCAAACAGAAGTTCCCAGCTGCAGTTTTAGAAATAAAGAGCAGTTCTTGTTTGTGCCACAGGATGCTGTATGACCTTTGGCTGCTATGATGTTTTTAAAGTGCTCATGTCGGTGTCATTTTGCTTTCTGTGTTTTTATGTCTCTCTGTCTATAATCCGAACAGAGCTGTGTGATCCTTCACTCCCTTCGTGGGCAGAGTGTCACAAAGGTCAGTATAAGCTGTGATTTATTTTAGCCTGATCCCATGTGGCTGAGTGGGCAACAAAGGGGTGTCTGGAGGGTCAGTGAGGTCAGGGGCACAGTGTATGATCGCAGCTTCAGGGTCACAGGGGCAGGGGGGAGGAATAGAAAGGACTACTTGGAAAGACAGTGAAAAGACCCTGAATCACTCTGCTCAGATTTATGGTGACCCCCCCCCCCCTCTGCTTCTGTTGGTATGTTGGTTTCATACATATCTCCCCTCTCCTGTGTTCATCTAGACTTATGGCTTTTCTGTGTCTTACAGCAATTCTCTCCTATGTCCCTCCAAGGTTTCCTTTAAAACAGAGGGACTTTGGTTGTTGGGCACAATGACCGTCTTTGATGGTGCACAGTTTGGGTGGCCAATGCGTAAGATCTCCCACATCAGTCTACAGCATAAACCGTATTGACAGCAAACAACAATCTCATGGTACAGGAAGTGGGTGAAGGGGAGTTGTGGCTTGCTCCCTGACCTGAGCATAGGTCGCTGAGTGGGCGGAGCCGGAGACTCTCCCTCCAGTTGCCGCGGCAGTCTCCATACAGCCTCTTTGTAGATGACCCTGGCGCTG